AATTGCAACTTTAAGTCATGACAAGAACAACCTCATGCGTGATGGAATTTCTGCACTGTAATTCCAGCACAGTTTGAAAGGTAATTCCGTCACGCATGTTTTGCGCAACGAAGCACACTTCTTTGGGATGATTTGTTTATAAAAAATGTTTTTCTATTGTCGGGGCTAGACATATTTTGACTATTCTAAGATGCCCGCCATGTCTTGATTCGCAGATTTAATGAAAAGTACATAGTTTGCATTTAGGTAATGTCAAAGTGGGTAATTCCGTCATATATAATGTTATAGACCTGATGCATCTGATGTAAAGAATCCATCTGGGTTTTTAATCATTCCTCTGATATTATCCCCCCATCTTATAAAATCCTCAATGGAATATACTATTACTGTATTAAACAGCCACTGTACGTGACTGCAAAATGAGGGGTACCATGTAATTCCGTCACAGTGGAATCGAGTATATTCCAATAAGGTGTACCATTAAACTCGTCTGTATTCATTGAACATGGGATAATCGGTAATACTTTGGCCATATTATCAACTAGAGATTAACGGCTTCACCACGATGCCATGTATTACGTATGGCGATTGGCCTGTCATCCCGCTGCGTGCGTCGAAAAATAACTAATTTCGCTGGAATTTTAAGAAAAAAGAAAGATTTATGAATATGGCACTCCTATAAAACGGTCAAATAAAAGTGTTTTAAAATGGTTAATTGCTATAGATTTTGATCTTTTTGGTCGATAGACTTATTTATAGACTCATTTTAGTGAAAATCTCAATTTCGACCAAAATCAATATTTTCACTTGCTTCGTGTACCGCAATATTAGATTTTGCGCATTCCGACTCATGTTGCCGCGCTTGTCACAAAATATATAAAAAAAATATACATAAAGTCGCCTTAAGGCGTATATTATTAGGGGTGGGCAAATGGAGGTCCATTTTAGGCGACAAGTGTTTTCTGCTGAATCCGAAACCGATTACATTTTTGATATGTGACGTAATTTTAGGTTGGTTCAGTGCCCATTTCCAAATGGCCGCCAAAAATGGACTTTTTTCGTCATAATGGTAAGGAAATATTGAAACCAGTCGTCTAATATGTGCTAATATGTATGTTTTTATAGGTCGGGGATACCGAATGAGACGAACTTAGATACAAAGGAATAATGGTTATACTACAGTGGTACTTTTTGTAATTTGTTTTCAGAAAAATCTGCATTTTTGCAGAATAACGCCCATAATTTGTTAATATCTGTGATATCGGGTTATTCTATCTCAGATACCATAGCAACTTAGAACAGCTTGCCAACTTCCCAACAGGGAAAGGCAACACCCTGGACATCACCCAACCTATTCCATCTTATGGCAACATTGACCATGACATAGTCCTTCTAGACATGTACTCTACGGCTAATTAAGTGACTAAAACCCATTCGCAGAAAGCTATACCTCTGGAAACGAGCAGACATACAAGGAATCAAAGAGGATCTCACTGACCTCACCGATTCAGTTATATAACATGGGAGAACCCCAAACCAAAAGGCAGACCATCGAGACCATCACCAAAAGAGTCCCCTCCAAGAGGACGACTTCTCGTTACACAAATCTCTGGATAAACACAGATATTAATAGAGCCATCAGACGGTAACAGAGGGCTTAAAAGAAGGCACGCCTTACTAAGAAGAATCAAGACAAGGACCTTTACAAGAAGCTACAGAATTTCCTTGAAACCACGATCAGCAGCGACTATAAGGAAGACTCCAAGAAATTTTGGACTTTCATCAAGAGTAAAGGACAAGAAGCCACTGGAGTAGCACCACTCAAAAACAAGAGTGACGCCCAGTAAAAAGCCAACATACTGAATCCACAGTTTGAATCAGCTTTCACTGCAGTGTTCCTACCATGGCATCCGTCAAACTTGATTGGAAAGGTTTACATACACTTGAAACTTCTGATGAATTTGAAGCTCTATTATGCAACTGGACCAAACACAGTCCCCTCCTTCATCATCAAAGCCGTAGTCACCAAATTAGCACCTGCCCATACACAAATCTTCCAGATGTCACTCGACTCAGGCATAGTCCCCAAGGATTGGAAAGAAGCCAATATTCAAGAAGGGAGACATACATCAGCCAGGGAACTAAACGCCAGTGTCGCTTGCCCACATCACCTGCAAGATACTGGAGCATATAATGCAGCACTTCGACAAGAACAGCATCTTGTGTGATAGTCAGTATGGTTTCAGGAAGCGTCGCTCCTATAAGACACAACTGATCTCTACCATACAGGAAATAGGCTCACACGTAGCCAAGGGAAAACAATTGCACGTCATACTCCTCACCTCGCCAAAGCGTTTGACAAGTGCCCCATGAAAAGCTCCTTCATAAGCGTGAACATTACAGAGTAAGAGGCAACTCACTGAAGTGGACCAGATCCTTCCTCATCAAAAGACACCAACAAGTCCTACTCGGCAGAGCAACATCTGACATGGCTCAGGTTACACCAGAGTTCCACGGTGCACTGTGCTTGTATTGGTCCATAGCCTTCATCGACGATCTTCCAGAATCCATAAAGTCGTCCCATTTCAAGCTTATTGTTGATGACAGTCTCTGGTAGTGGGAAACCAGACAGCCTCCGACCTTCTCCAGAAAGATCTCACGGCATTAGAGACAAAGGAAAATACGGGGCAGATGTCCTTCAATCTATCCAAATGTACAGTCATCCGCAGAGCTCCAAAGAACAGGGGGATACTATTCAGCACGGCTTAGTCGATATACCTCACCAGAAGTACTTACGAAACGGCGACTCTCGCACCCGAGACCAACACAGATTCTTCCAGGAGAGAGTATAAAACTTTCATTGAACTATTTATGGTCTGGGAAGATCCTAGTTCAGTATCAGTACAAATAAATCTGAAATAGAATAACCCGACATCACAGATATCAACAAATTATGGACAATTATCTGAAAAAAAATGCAGATTTTTCTGAAAACAAACGACAAAAAGCACGATTGCTGTATAACCATTATTCCTTTGTATCTAAGTTCGTCTTATTTGGTATCCCCGACCTATAAAAACATACATTTGAACATATTAGAGGACTAGTTTTAATATTTCCTTACTTTTACGATGAAAAAGGTGCATTTTTGGCGGCCATTTTGAAAATGGACACTGAACCAACCTAAAAAGAGGTCACATGCCAAAAATATCATAGGATTCAGATTCAGCAGCCAAAATGGCCTTAGAAAACACTCGTCACGTGGGATATCGATTAATGTTGATGTCATTTGCCCACCCCTAATATTATGCAACAATATACATTATGTCGCCTTAATGCGTATATTATGCAAAAATATACATAAAGCCGCCTTAATGCGTATGTAACAGTTACAAAATATTAGGGCGACCAAAATTTTTGTATATTTTTTAATTTATTTTTTTTCTCTATGAACCAAACTTCAGGAAATTGTAAAGCAAAGGGTATAGTGCCCAAAAAAGCATTTTCTGCTATAAAATATGGAAAACTGGTAGATTATGCAAATTTTCCTCCTATATAAGGTGGAAAATATAGTGTGGTGGCCTTAATGCGGAAATTAGATATATATACTCTTCAAAAAAAGTAGTGGATATTCAGAAACATTACAAAACCGCGGAAATGCACTGCTGTGTTTATTAGAGGTAACCAGTGTATGTTAATACCAGGCCAATTGCCAACACATGAACATAAACAGTTCACATGGGCGTAACACACCAAAGCAAAGATACGCTAAACAGTAAATGTTATCGAAGAACCGATAGGAAAGCAAACATATGGATAGATAAACCAGCACGCGGCAGTTTTGATCAACCCTTCTTTGAAATGTCAAATTTGACAATGAACCCCTTCATGTTGCCGCGCGGGTGGAAAATATAGTATGGTAGCCTTAATGAGGAAATCAGATATATATAGGCCTACTCTTCAAAAAAAGTAGGGGATATTCAGAAACATTACAAAACCGCGGAATGCACCGCTGTGTTTATTAGAGGTAACCAGTGTATTGCTACACATGAACATACTGAAGGCCCCATTTCACTCGCAAAGAGATACACTGTCAAAAGTGAAAATGGACGTTTTTAATTTTTGTCATAATAATGAGTAATTGCTCCACCAATCCTCAGATATTCAGCAATTCGTCGTGGCATACTCCTAATCAACCGTCCAATCACGATTTGGGGCAATCTGACCCACTCCTCTTGCAGTGCATCGGCCAATTCTTGAAGTGTTGTCGGTTGACGTTGACGTCGAAGAACACGTCTCCCGATCAAATTAAACGTAACACACTAAAAGCAAAGATATGCTAAACAGTAAATCTTATGGAAGAACCGATAGGAAAGCAAACATGGATAGATAAACCAGCACGCGGCAGTTTTCATCAACCCTTCCTCGAAATGTCAAATTTGACAATGAACCCCTCCCAAGTGTATGGCGCTATTGCGTGTCGCATATGTGCAGCTTATGCAGTGGTTCTGTTGGGGCGACATGTTCTTCATCTGTGAACATACTCTCTTAAAGCATGTCAAATATCCATGACTATTTATCATATCGCAACGTGCATAGGTATTTGCATTTCAATATCCCCAACTTTTTTTTTGAAGAGTATGTAGGCCTAGCCATTGCGCCCTATCGGAAAAGAATATACTTTAACTTATCTTATATACCTTGACCGCTGCAACATCCAAAATAATTTAAATTATTAAATTTATTATATTTTTAATTGAGATTAGGAAACGATCAATATTATTGCCCCCCCCCCCTCACCTGGGTTAAATTTCTTGCAATAAATTTGACGAAAAGGCCTTTTGATAAGCTATAAATTTCAAAATGCGCGCAGCTTCAACATTATAAAGAAGGGAGTATTAAAATTAGCATTTCGCTTCCCATAAAATATTTCAGTTGGTAACTTTAGGGAGAACGCCGAACTGTACAAGCAGCGCATGCGCACTAAAACTCTTGTCGGCGTGAGAGGAAAATTTTTGCACGTGAAAACAAAAGAAATTTTATTCGAAATAACATTAAATTTAAAAAATGAGGTAAGAATACACATGCAGTGCTGTAAAATATTGTCTTACACGTAATCTAGGCAAACTGCATAGCAAATCAAATCGAACAGAAATGTCAATGGACTCTTTATGTTCATTTTCTGAATCTGAATCAGTGAATGACTGAATTATGATAGGCCTAATACTGCAGGACCTTCCGGTATAATTGCCAATTGCCATGCACTGATACAGTACCGGTAACTAATGATATTTAGGATCATCAGTGAATATTCGCAAGGCCGCTAATATCACTGAGAGGGATGAGTTCGGTGCGGGTTAATGAGCTCGCAATATTAACTTTTTTCCTTCTGTAAAACTAAAAGTAGTTAAGTCTAAGTAATGAAGCCTCTAGATACATGTAACAAACCTTTATCTCTCAACCCTCCGTGTTTCGAGATAAGAAATGGTGCTGCTAACTTCAACGTAGCACATGCTGGAGCCATTCGCACCCGGCATTTGCAAACAAAATTAACAATATTTTTAATCAAAACGATTGATTATTGTTATTTATAATATTTCTGCCACACCCAACTACAAATAAGCATATTATAATCCGGGACCGACTAATCACCGGAATTCACCAGAATTCATTTACAATCACCGGAATTCACATGTAATCACCGGAATTCACAGAAAACCCCTGATTCCTCCCACAAAACTAATTTATTGTAACGAATTACTATTTTGATATCTCCACAGGCCAAATAAAGGTCCTGTTTGTGTATTTATTTGAAAGACTACCGGAATTCATTTCAAATATATGCATCATGGTTATGATAACAGGCCGAAACCCAAAATAACACTAAAAAACAATTTGCGCCGAGTTACCCAATACCTCCAAAATAACAACCAATAACTTCAAAAATATTGACTGTGGAAACACAAAATAACAATTTAGTATGAGTTTAAGAAGCGTGACTGGTTTTTGTCCAAATCGGAGGTTCACAGGAGATAACTCGTGTATGTGATTTTTGTTGACAAGAAACTTATGTATACTTTCGTTGCAATTCGTTGTAATGTATTGTAATTAGAGATTGATTAATAGTTTATTAAAACAGTAATTATATGCATGAAACATATTATGGTAATATGGTATATAATATTAATAGTGCAATAAACAATTTAATATTTATAGCTATTTATTTATTTACACTTGCAAATTGTGTCGTTTGTCACTTAATCTGTCATCGACATCGTAACTTGTTTTGAAATAAATAAATGAAATCAATTTAAATAAGTTCCGCTGACAATTAATTGTCTTTGTTCAGAGTATTCTCATGTTATGATAGTTTATTATGTTGTGATTGTATGTGATTTGACACTTTATACAATGACAATATTTACATTTAATATGATTTGTAAATCCGATATTTTGACCATTAAAGGGAGATTAGTTTACTCGACATGTGTGGAGAAAATCTCGTAACTCGTCAAATTTGAGATGTTTTAAAACAATTATGTGTAGAACCTATTTGTAATTCATCAAAAAGCCTCTTTTATCAGCATTTCAGTCCTAATTTTAACACATAAACACCGGAATTCACATTGAAAACATATAAACACCGGAATTCACTTTCAACATATCGGAAATCGCACTTAAGACCTTCATATTTACTATTATTTTACATTAAAAATAAATTACTTTTAAACACCGGAATTCACATTGAAAACATATAAACACCGGAATTCACTTTCAAATATCGAAATTCGCACTTCAGACCTTCGTACTCGATCACAAATATTTTACAATAATAATAAATTACTTTAAAACACCAGAATTCACTTACAAAATATCTGAATTCGCACTTTAGACCTTCATATTTACTAATATTTTACATTAATAAAAAATTACTTTAAAACACCGGAATTCACTTTGAGAAAATCGGAATTCGCCCCAAGACAATTGTATTTACTTATATTTTGCATTAATATTAATACTAGAATGTATCTGCTGTAAAACGATATTTCTAGATGGTCAACTCGGGGAAACACAATAAAAACACAGCAGTAATCCATGTAAAATGTCAAACCGAACATTTCTCGAATGTAGATGAGCTAAGTTTATTCGAAAATTAACTTAGTAATAATCAGCCAATCAAATAATTATAAAGTCTCATCAATAATTTTTTGGATATTTTCATAGATAATCCGTTGTAGCATGAAGCAGTCCAGATTAAATGAAGTGTAATTTTAATAATATGCCAATAGTAGGCATATAGAATGTTCACCAGTTAATTGTCATTGTAAAAGGTGACAAATCACATACAATCACACCTCCAAAAAACATAAACTATGATAACATGAGAATTTATTTATTTCTAAACAAGTTATGACTTACGATGTCGATGACCGAAAGTGACAATCGGTGCAATTATAAATAAATAAATATAGCTATAATATTAAATTGTTTATTTTAATAAACAATTATCAATCTTTTATTACAATACATTACAACGAATTGCAACGAAAGTATACATTTAAATAAGTTTCTTGTCAACAAAAATCACATATACACGAGTTATCTCCCGTGAACCTCCGATTTGGGCACAAATCAGCGAGGCTTCTTAAAGTAGCTAAGTCCGTAACTCAATATCATCGAAAATCTTCGACATAGGAAACACGATTTTTTTTTTGCAATTTAAATCAGCATTGGTGTTGTGATCTTGCCTGGAAAAGATGGGCTTCTGATATCCAATATTTAAGACAAAATAAACATTTTACCATTGGTACACGAATCGTGTACCATATTGCGTTTCAGCGCCATTTGTAACAAGGTCCTGAAAGAATGAGGCTAGACATATTCCACAAGTCATGTCAAACGGTGATACTGTGTTCTTATTTGGAGAGCATGCGCAATAAATAATATCGGTGTTGACGGGAATAACCAGACGCTAGAAACTGACTTGCGGTTGAGACTTCTGGCGTATTTCGCCGAACATAACTGATGACAATTCACAGTAAAACGGACTCGATTGAATGTAAATCAGTTTATATAAATTCATATTACATTATTATATGTGTTGCGACCTATTTGTGCCAATTTCTAGGTCCAAAATATTAGCGATTTAGCTCCTTTAAATTCAACTAAATTGTTATATTGTGTTTCCACAGTCAACATTTTTGGGGTTATTGGCTGTTATTTTGGAGTTATTGGGTAACTCGACGCAAATTGTTCGGCCTATTGGGTAATCATGCTGCATATATTTGAAATGAATTCCGGTAGTCTTTCAAATAAATTCACCTACAGCACCTTTATCTGGCCTGTGGAGAGATCAAAATGTATTATACATTTAAAATAAGTGAGTTTTGTGGGAGGAATCGGGGATTTTAGAAGTGAATTCCAGTGATTGTAAATGAATTCCAGTGATTGTAAATGAATTCCAGTGATTGTAAATGAATTCCAGTGATTAGTCTACCCGCACAATCCTAGCTGAAACGAGTACAAATCCCCTCTTTTTAAATCAAAGCGACAGTAGATTGCTTTTTCCGACATTTTAAATTTACACCTGTAACACATAAAGGCGGGGCCACGTGTGCAATAGCCAATCAAAGTTCTAATCTGATAAGAGTTGTGCAGTTGTAATACGCCGTAATTATGAACGTCCGAATCAATTTCGATAAAAACAATGCTTGATTTACTTTATTGTCAATATTTGCTGATAAATGAATGTTGTTTCAGTAGATTGGGCTGTGTATGTATAATACATGTAAGTACTAAAAGTATCAAATTAACTTATTTTTAAGATGGTATATTTATTAATAAAGAAATTGAGTAAACTTGCCACTTGGAACTAAAGGCATCCAATCGTAGCTAAAAACAAGCACATCAGTATATCTATAATATCTCAGCGTTTTTAGTTACGTTCTCGTAGCTATGAAGCCTCTAACTCAGTCAGTGACATCCATCCAAAGTATACAACATTAAAAACACAAATTATTTGTCAATCTAAACCAACTTTGGTCTTGTAATCTTACTGGGAAAAGATGGGCTTCTGCCGATATTAAAAGTAGCTACATTGTAAGTCAATTTAAATCAACATTGGTGTTGTTATCGTACCTTGAAAAGATGGGCTTCTGATATCCAATATTTAAGACAACATAAACATTTTACCATTGGTAAACGAATCGTGTACAATAATGGGTTTCAGTGCCATTTGTAATAGAGGACTCGAAAAACGAGGCTAGACATATTCCACAAGTCATGCCAATCGGTGAAGCCATATTCTTATCTGGCGAGCACGCGCAATAAATACTATCGGTGTAGACTGGAATAACCAGGTGCTAGAGATAGCCATTCGATTGACACTTCTGGCATATTTCGCCGAACATAACTGATTTGAAATTAGAGTAAAAACACAAACGATTGAATGTAAATCAGTTTATATTATACATTCATATTACATTATTATATGTGTTGCCTCCCATTTGTGTCAATTTCTAGGTCCCAAATATTAGCGATTTAGCTCCTTTAAGTAGGGTGGTCCAAGCTCAACAGTTTTACAAAACATGGACAATAATTCGGGCTTATTTTAGCATTATTTTATATGATAAGACTTACAATAAAAACTTCATTCATCAACAATCAAAGTCTGGCCATCTTTGACTTTTGAAGATATAACAATTTTGGCATGTTGGAAAAATTGGTTGAAATTATGTTCAGAGCACATTATCAGGGCAGTTAACTCTTTGTGAGTTATGGTTCTTGGTATAAAAGAAAGTAGAATTACGTCCCTGGCACGAAGATTTCTTCATCACAGTCGGGAAACATCGTCTATTTTCTTGCCGCGAAGTAACGGAATACACTCTGAGACGATTGAATTTTCAACATCTGTATGCGTGCGCAAACGCTTAGGTTTTTTATACGCCCACATTTCTTTGATTATGAAGAAACTGCTTAATATTAATAATGGTTATTAAAAACATGCCTATGTATTTGAAATCACCTCTGAAACTGATTAAATAAAATCTTTTGGCTTCAAATGTTATATGAATTATTATTTAGACATTTATTAACATGACAAGCCTATGATCAACTCTAGACTATCGGATGGCCGAGATTTAAACATCCATGAAATTTAGAAATTTAACAATAAAATGGACAATAATGAATGATCACAAAATGTCTTCCAGCAGTAAAACGTTGATAAGAATATAAAGCAATTTGAATGAAATTTTCATATATTCATTTTTCGTTTTCAATTTTTTGAATTACAGTATTAAAACAAGATCGTCAAGCTCTTAATATCTAAATCTAAATCTTTCATAATGCATCTTCGAAAGGTGGGGGACTATTAAAATGGGTTCATCTGTCCGCCTGTCTGTCTGTTCGTCACACTTTTTGGGACACAATAACTCTCTAATTAAGTGAAAGTGATAAAACTTTGTGTATAGTTTCATTACATCAATACCTTGACTAAGTTCAATAATGAGCATTTTCTGCTTACGGTAAGCAGAGCAATAAGCAATTTGATTGGTCGAGATTTGGAACACAATAACTCTCATTCTAATTGAGGTAGAATGTTCAAACTTGGTGTAGGTGTTTATTAGGACAATGCCTTGATGAAGTTCGAAAATAAGCATTTCCTGCTTAGGGTAAGCAGAGATAAGCATTTTGATTGGTTGATGCTTTGGGACACGATAACTTTAGTTCTAATTAAGTGAGAGTAATGAAACTTGGTGTATAGTTTCATTACATCAATACTTTGACTAAGTTTCATAATGAACATTTTCTGCTGAGTGTAAGCAATAAGCAATTTGATTAGTCGAGACTTTGGAACACAATAACTCTCCTTCTAATTGAGGTAGAATGTTCAAACTTGGTGTAGGCGTTCATTAGGTGAATGAATGCCTTGATGGAGATCGATGATGAACATTGTCTGCTTACGGTAAGCAATCAGAGATAAGCAATCTGATTGGTTCACTAAATCTTTCAAACTTAAAATTAGTGTCCTGCAAATTACTATAGTTACAAATACAGTGCAAACAAATTAATCTTTTCTAAGAAGTACATGTTAGCAAAAATAGACCTTGTTAATCTAAGCTACAGCCAGCTGATGCAGAAACTAATAATTTGCTGGCAATTAACTGGTACAATGCAATGACTTCCTCAGTGGTGCAGAACAGAGGGCCTGACAAGGACAGCTGTCTAGTCCTTCGGATGAGACGAAAAACTGAGGTCCCGTGTATATATTGGAATGCACGTAAAAGATCCCCCGGCAGTTGGATTTCGATATAAGAGTAGGCGATAGTGCCGCTGCCCGGGCAAAATTTCCCTCATAGCACACTGTATGGCGTATGCCCGTCTTCATTAGCCCAGTATAGGAGCAGAACAGTAGGACGTTAAACCCCATTTCATTTCATTTTTTCGACACGAGCTTGTTCAAAGAGAAATACTACAATTGAAGTTTGGTTGTATTTCAGGTATGACAAATCCGATGAACAGCAGACGACTATTCACTGTTGATTTTGTGTATGAACAGTTGGAGCTAAAGTCTCAAATATGGTACATTTGTAATGGGAATTGAAAGACAATTCTTACGTATTATTCTGTTCTAGATAATTATTTCCAGAAACAGCAAAACCTAATTCACTTAAACCTACTTGTATATGTACACAACACCTTTTGTGCTAATTCTTTGATTAAAATACTGTTAGTTACTATTCTTGGATCTAGTTTCTTATTCATGCAGACGAAATCTAACATGTAGTATGTAGGAACTAAAGTGACCACATGTACATTTGTATATCGATCTGTAATCCCGGATAAATAAAAAACAATATAAAAAGGCAATACATGGGCCGTAATTGTATTATATGGCGATTATTTCACAAACAGCATGTTGCATATTGCCACAATACACTGTATATAGTTATATCGCAATGTGAATACGGAAATATCGCAATGTTGAAAATAGCAGATATCGCCCATCCCTACCTTGGTGTCACCACTTTGTACGAAATAATCTATCCCGATGAGTGACGTAATTAGTTTCCATTTTTATATACCCACATTTTCATGTGGACATATTTTGTCATCACCCTTGTCCGTCCATAATTTTTATCCGATTTTGACGAAACTTGAATTATTATTGGTTTATATACCAAAGATCTCGGTTCCTTTCAATATTGGTGTGTATCGGACCATAAATACATGGACTATGACCCCTTATTGTACCAAAATTCATGTTTTTAGCTTGTGGACACTCTAGAGGTCACAATTTTTATCCGATTTTGATAAAACTTAAAATGTATTTCAGGTTTGTAGTTTTTAATTATTAGACTGGTTACTGAAATAGATTTGCTTATTATTAATGTTCTAACTGCAGTATACTGAGTTCATACGTGTGGCATTGCCCACTCCCCTTTGGTTGCAACTTAAAATGGTTTACAAAATTACATGTAGGAACAGTATTGTGCATCAGGGCTTGCCACGAGATGTGAGTAATTACTCGCGCGCGCACGCTACGCTTGCGTAAAACCAAATTTACATGAGTGATTAAGTACTCGCGCAAATATAAAAAATAATTTAATCAGAAATAATGGAATATCGTAATAAAAAAAGCCGTAAACAAATTGTATGCCTTCATATGATGCACTATTGCGCACGCGGCGTGTCTTTCCAGTGCCACCTGTTGTTACTAAAAATACTTTGAGACGCGTACTGCCAGGCGTTTTTTAAGCGGATGTCCTTTGCCGTGTCTGGATAATCAAAAATTGAGCGGATGTTGTCGTTTCTATAGCAATTCTTTCGATCCTGCATCTTTTCTGCAAATTGATGGGATTGAAATTGTTTTGCCTGTTCTTTTACCTTTCTAAGCTTTACCCGAATCCCCTCAGCACGCCAACGATGGCAAAGGGAAACCCAGTTTCCCTTGCAATGTTCTTGTCATGGGAAGACAATTTACAGAATTTGTTTGGATAAATAAAAGAGTATGCATTGCCATTGTGTATAAAATAGCTTTATTCAACGTCGGCTTCCACCGAAGTGACAAGAGCATTGCCATTAGGCACATGAAATTTAAATGGCTACTCACGCACATCATTCTGAGTGAGTAAATACATGTACTCGCCTCACTCGCGCAAGTCTATATTTGCGTGAGTAGTCATCTACTCGCCTCGGTAACTGTCTTTTTATACGCCCACATTGAAATGTGGTCGTATATTGTCGTAGCCCCTGTCCGTCCATCTGGCGTCCTCAATTGCTTGTAGACGCTCTAGAGGCCAAAGTTAATATCCAATTGACGTTAAATTTATACACAGTGTTTACAGTCATGAGACGAAGAAGCCTATTGATATTCAGCGGTTTCCGATAATTAAAGCCTATTGAAATGCGGTCGTATATTGTCGTCGCCCCCATCCGTCCTGTGTCCAAAATTGCTTGTGGACGCTCTAAGGGCCAAAGATAATATCCAATTGACGTTCAAGTTATACACAGTGTTTACGGTCATGAGACGAAGAAGCCTATTGATTTTCAGCGAATTCAGATAATTACTGCCAGAGTTATGGCCCTTGATCAATTTGAAAAATATTGTGGATGCTCTAGAGGCCAAAGTTTATATATGATTGACTTCAAATTTATACACAGTGTTTAAGATCATGAGACGAAGAAGCCTATTGATTTTCAGCGATTTCCGATAATTACTGCTAGAGTTATGGCACTTGATCATTTCAAAAAATCTTCTTGATGCTCTAGAGGCTAAAGTCAATATCCGATATTAGTGTTTAAGGTCATAAGATGAAGAATCCTATTGATTTTCAGTGATTTCGGATAATTACTGTCAGAGTTATGGCCCTTGATCACTTCACAAAAAATCTGGTGGACGCTCTAGAGCCTAAAGTTAATATCCGATTGACTTTAAATTTATACACAGTGTTTAAGGTCATGAGATGAAGAAGCCTACTGGTTTTCAGCGATTTCTGATAAGTACTGCCAAAGTTATGGTCCTTGATCTCTTTGAAAAATCTTGTGACGCTCCAGAGGCTCAAGTTATCATCGGATTGACTTCAGATTAATACACAGAGTTTAAGATCTTGAGACGAACAAGTATATTGATTTTCAATGAATTTTGATATCTTGAACAGCTAAATCCATGGTATTAAATGTTTCGTATACTAAACGTTAGCATGGGGCAGAACTTTATAAAAACCAAACAAATTCTAATGATTTTCTGATAATTACTTAATGAGTTGTTACTCTTAATCAGATTTTAGTGTATTATAAATGTTTCATTACCGAAAAAAGTAAAAACATGCGACAATTCTTGTTGACTGCCCAGACGATTTAGCTGATGTGGGCGTATGTTTCGTTGCCTGGCAACCTATCTTTTATTTTTTTCAGAAATTTCCGAAGTGTTCGTGGTAAGGGTGGTATGATGAGAGGGCCATTTAATAAACCTCATGGTCAGCCGTAAGTTTTTAGTTCCTATAGGCCTTCTTATTTGAACATGTACCAGACATGTATGAAACAATTAAAAGGCTTTACCTAATATTTTACCTTAAGTACTGGTAAGCATCTATGAACATATGTTTTTCTTTCTTCAGATTTCGTGCCTTTGTACCACACATTCCATTTGATCTATTACAGGTAATTTAGTTAATATCATCTATTACATCAGCTGGCTTTACATGTACATATCCTTTAATTACAAACATAAGATCTCCCTTCTTTATCAGAAGATGCCGTCTCGCTTACCAGGTTCAGTGTTTGATCCTTTTGTTGCCCCAGAAAGTTGATAAGGATTTTCTGGCATGGTCCCCCTTTTCATAAGTGCAGGACAGAGGGCCTGGTAAGGGACAGTGTCTGGTTGTGTAGTGTACACGTCATGCACATACAAGAAGCTTTGACAGTTATTTTCCTCATAGCACCATGTTCAGGCGTATTCCAGTCTTCATTATCCCAGTGGGTGGAGAAAAGTAAGACATTAAACCTCATTTGTTTATCAGATTTAGTCATTATTTTAATATCAAGAAATGTAGTATAATGTTAATATCATGTTTTCTTTTATAGTGTGAATCTGCCTTCCCTAAATCAAAACCGGCTTCAGATGAAAAATCTTTCACAGAGGTACATGTATGCTTTATCAAATGCAGGGTTATGCTTATTTTCTGAGTTTTTGAAAAAGTGATTTTTAAGGCCCATCCTTAAAAGTCATTGAATTTCACTAATGCTTGAACTGTCTATTGAAGTCATTTAAAACACTTGAACTATACTCAAAGCCATTAAAAATGCAATGCCAAATTCAAAGTTTATTTACTGCAACAACTTTTAACAAATGTACATAACAATTGACAAAATCGAGATAACAAGCATCTGTGGATAATTTCATGAAAGAATTGACTACAAATGCACAAAACCGAAACGTCAGAGAACCATGAAACAAAGCAGGGGTCAGCTGAAGTCAATATCGGGTATGTCCACCCTGAGCTCTTACACATGCCTGAAGTCGCCTTGGCATGGACTGGCGCAGATGTCTCACTACACGCTGTGGGTTTGTTTGCCAATGATTTTGGAGTGCCTGTGCCAACTCTGCAACAGTTCGTGGTGGCACGACTTGGGTTCGAACCCGTTGTCCAAGTTCATCCCAAAGGTGTTCGACCGGGTTCATGTCGGAGACTTAGCGGGCCAATCCATAACACGGACATGATGATTGTTCAGAAAGTCAACCTGGCAGTGTGGGGTCGGGCATTGTCATGTTGGAAAACCATCTGTCGACAGACGCCATGTTGAGCCAGCAATGGAAGCAACATTGGACGAAGAATGGCGTCAACATAATGTTGAGCGTTGAGATTGCCTTGGCCCCCCACCAACTGGGACCGAAAGTTGACGTTGATAGTGGCCCAAACCATGACGCCACCTCCCCCGAACCAATCCCTTTCCAGCACGCAGTTACGAGCAAAGCGTTCATGTCGACGTCAGTAGATACGGTGACGTCCATCAGGAAAACGGTGACGTCCATCAGGAAAACTGAGGTTGAATTGGGATTCATCCAAGAAGATGACATTTCGCCATGGTGTGTTGTGCAGATACCCCTGATTTGCGACCCAATGCTGTCTGGCAAGTCGATTATGATGCAAAAGGATTTGACCTTTATAAGGTAGACGCAGCGTAACCCAAGAGCAGCCAGACACCTTCGGACTGTTTGAGGAGTGATCTGACGTTGCCGTGTTCCAACAATTCATCTGGAAGTAGCAGTAGCTGACTGGAACCTGTTGCGCAGATGCAGTAGTCGGATGTGGCGATCTTGATCAGGGGTTTTTACAGGTGCCGCTCCAGGTCGGGGTCAATTGGTAACTCTTCCAGTGGCGTGCAAGCGTTGTCTGAGGCGAGCAATGGTCGATGGGTTGACATTAAAGTGTCTGGCGACAGCTACCTGTGAAGTCCCCTGATCCAGCATGCCAATAGCTCTGTTCCTGTTTTCTTCTGTAAGGCGTGGCATTTTTCCGAAGTGATGAATGTTGAAATTTTGATCTGTATTTAAAGGGCCAGAGTGCAGGGAATGCACTTGCAACACGTGTGACATGGGACTGCTTAAAATCGTTAAAAAAGACAAGTGTTGCATTTGCACGAACAAAGTTCATTACCGAGAACTGATATTGGGTTCAAACCCAGAACTCCACAAAAATAGACCCATCACAAGTTTCACTTATGTGCTATAAGATAGGAAAGCCCAAGAAAACGTTTACCAGAAATATTTCACAAATAAGGCATTGCATTTTTAATGGCTTTGAGTGTAGAATTTTATATAACATTAAATGTATAATAATTGAACTATATGGAAGGCTGAAGATACACAGAATAATTTGAGATTTTACTTTTCTGTCACTCAAACTTCCTATATTAAACAAGACTTTCTGATGACTACAAATATTCTAGTTTAAATTGTAGACAGATACGAAGTTAACAAACAATAATAATAGTTCTATTGATTTTTTTAAGGGGAGTACAAAACCTTTTGCAGATTTAACATACATTGTGCAAGAGCTAAATCTGCCTGTTGCAAGTCTTTCTTTAGGCCTGAAATGTTATATAAACTATTAATTAGACATTTATTAACATGACAAGACCATAATCAACTCTTGATGCCATCGGATACATGTATCTCCAGTATTAAGTAGATTAGAACGGTTCAGCCATATTTTGATTTAATTTAAAAATGGAGGAGAGAGACTTAGCTTCGAACATCCAGTATGGTGGTTGAAATTATTGTACACGTCTTTACAAACCTTCAAAGGCTAATATCTTTGCTCGCAATAGAGTAATTTGAATCAAATTTTCAAATTATTCATTTTACATTGTCTATTTTCGAACTATTATAGCAAGAATGGCTAGCTCTTTATCTAAATCTTACATGATGTATCTTTAAGATAGAAGAAAATGACCCTTTTTATAGCTAAAAAATTGCAATTTTAACCCTTTGTTTTTCAGGCACTTTTAAAGCGAAATGCTGATCTGACACCCAATGCTGGGGAACAAGCTTCTATATTAGCGTTGGTTACAAAAATACAAAGTATATTAGATAACTTAGTTATTGCACCTGGAGCGTTTGATTCAGCTGTAAGTACCAAAGAAACATAAAATATATTTCCAATATTTGAAAATAATAAATTAATATGAGACTTTATAGGTGTTATGGTGTTGCGTTTTGACTCGACATCCGGTTTGGCACAGTTCCTTATTTTTTTAATGACAAACAAAGCAACAATATCCTTGACATTTCAAATGGTGGGCATACTTCATACTGTACTCAAAAGGACGAAGTATAATTTAATACTTATAATATAAAAAATATAAAAATGTAAGTTAATGAAAGCACAAGTCGAAATCAATACTAATAATAAAGGCAAGGAAAAAAAGAGTTAAATAACTCAATCCTTGACTTATAAAATAGGTTCTGTATGAATACAGGGAACCAATATAACGGAAGCTTTTTCACTCAGGGCCCCATGCTCAAGGAACCAAGTCAAACCGCATACTGAGACAGTAGTTAAAATTGCACTAATTTTGTCTTAATCACCTGAATTACAAAACTTGTGGGTATCTTTTATATGCAGTCACATTACTTATTAATTTAAAATGGAAAGCACTGCATTTTCTCTGCCTAAAAAAGGTTGTTTGTACCTTGCATGTTATTTTTAATTTAGTTGTATTGATGCTTTTGTATTTTTAGTTATATTTCATTTAAAGACCTATTTTTTGATAAATTTTTGCAGATATTTTATTTTGTTTATTATTAAGTCTGCCCGGCTAAGCTTTTGGCTGCCATTTTGTTTGTAATGGGTTATATATTTATCAGTTGGAATTCAAGGCTTACTTATTTTGTTTACAATCACAAACTCAGTTCCTGAACACCCAAAATACTGATTAAATATTAAAGCATATCATTTAACTAATTATTTCATTTTTTGTTGGTAAATTCTGAGTTGAACATGCATTAAAATAATTGAAGTTTAACTTGCGTTTCCTTGACCCTCTTTTTACAGAATAACAGCCTACCAGTAAGTTGTATTTTATCTGAGACCCAATAATTACATGTAGCAATTTATTTCTCTTTCACATCAGCGTAAACTCAGAGTTAATTAATAGAACTTCTGTTGTTTTTTTTTTTAACATCACAAGCAGACAGCACACTCACACAGACATTTCCTTTAATATTTCAAATCTAAGTTAAACTAATTCTGTCCAGTAGAGTTACACTGTCTTCCCTATCAAATAGTTTCTTTCTTTGTGTGTTATGTTTGAATTGTTTGGAATTAAAATTCAAAATATTAAGAATTTTGACATTCAGTATTCTTAAGTCTTACAAGTAGTAAAGTCCAAAAGTGCAATACTCTTTGGCAATGAATTTGTTGGGAGCTATGGTATCCACTGCCTTGTCCAATTTTTATACGCCAACATTTTCATGTGGACGTATATTGTCGTCACCCCAAACCGTCCGTCTGTTTGTAGACACTCTACAGGTCACAAGTTTTATCTGATTTTGACGAAACTTGAAATATAGGTCTATCTCCCAAAGATCTCGGTTCCTTTCGATATTGGCATGTATCGGACCATAACTTCATGGATTATGACCCCTGATTGTACGAAAAATCACGTTTTTAGCTTGTGGGCACTCTAAAGGTCACAATTTTGATCGGATTTTGATGAAACTTGAAATGCATGTTTAGGCCCAAAGAGCTTGGTTCCTTTTGATATTCGCGCATATCGTAGCGTAACTTCCTGAATTATGGCCTCTGATGGTACGAAAAATCGCGTTTTTATGCGTCCACATGTATATTGGCGTCGCCCCTGTCCGTCCGTCAGGACATCTTTCCGTCCACAATTGTTTGTGGACACTCTACAGGTCACAATTTTTATCCAATTTCACCGAAACTTGAAATATAGCTTTATCTCCCTAAAATCTCTGTTCCTTTTGATATTGGCATGTATCGAACCATAACTTCATGGATTATGGCCCCTGATTGTACAAAAAATCGCGTTTTTAGCTTGTGGACCCTATAGAGGTCACAATTTTTATCCGATTTTGTTGCAACTTGAAATGTAAATTTATAACCCAAAGATCTCGGTTCTTTTCGATATTCGCACATATTGGACCGTAACTTCCTGAATTATGGCCCCTGATTGTACGAAAAATCGCGTTTTTAGCTTGTGGACCCTATAGAGGTCGTAATTTTTATCCGATTTAAAAAATCATTTTAGTATATCACCGTTACACCCTAAGGACAGCTGAGTTCGAATTTCGTAAAAATCAGACCAAAACTGACAGACAAAATAGCCGTCCCTCGTACTGTGGACCCTCTAGAGGTCACAGTTTTCTTTTGATTTTGATGAAACTTGAAATGTAAGTTTATAACCCAAAGATCTTGGTTCCTTTCGATATTCGCTCATATCCAACCGTAACTTCCTGAATTATGGCCCCTGATTGTACGAAAAATCACGTTTTTAGTTTGAGGTCCCTCTAGATGTCACAATTATTACCCAAAGATCTTGGTTCCTTTTGATATTCGCGCATATCGGATCGTAACTTCCTGAATTATGGCCCTTGATTATATACGAAAAATCATGTGGTCCCTATAGAGGTCACAATTTTTATCCAATTTAAAAAAAAGCAAAAAACGTGTGAATATATCACAGTTATACACTAATAATGGTTGAGTTTGAATTTCGTGAAAATCAGAAAAAACTGACGGACATAATGGCCGCCTTTTGTATGCAAATAGTGTAAAAATATGGTATATCAAGGTTGTGGGCCCTCTTAGAGGCCACAGTTTTTATCCGATTTGGATGAAACTTTAAATACATGTATATGTTTTATCATAAAGATCTTGGTTCCTTTTGATAATCACACATATTCGAACGTAACTTCCTGGATTATGGCCACTGATTTAACTTAAAATATATCTTTATATTCTAAAAATCTCAGTCCCTTTTGATATTTGTGCATTTCAGACCATAACTTTCTGGATTATGGCCCCTGATTGTTTAAAAAAATAATTTTTGTTTTTAGCTTGTTCTCTATCCATCTGTTGCAAAATGTGGGCGTATCCTGCCTGGCAGCCACTGGTTCAGTTAATTATTTACATCATTTCACTGGAACACTGGAACAAGTAGTTGTTCACTTGACTTATTCATTTAATAGCAAAGCTGATGTAGGACTTGGGGGGGGGGGGGTAGATGACTGAATGGTTAGCATGTGCGTGCTGTATCATAAGGTCTGTCATTGAGTCAACTGGCTTGGTTTTGATTCCCCAGTTGTACGTGACAAGGAGTAGGGTCGTCTGTCCAACTTTGTGTGTTTTCTCCGGGTCCTCCGCTTTCCTCCCACTGCTAAAGACCCCTACGCACAAGCAAATTATTGAAATAAAATTGAACCATGTGTTAGTCCCGAAATGACCTAGTTTGTGTGAGTGGACATTAAACACCATTTCTTTCTCTCTCTGATATAAGACTGACTCATTTAGATCAAAAATACATTTTTGTCAAGCTATCAGGTATAACCACACAGTACCCTAGTAACTGATCTTTACTGCAGATGATTTACTAGATTATTGTTTGTTATTGTGTCTACTGTCTAGGCACTGTGAGCATGCTTAGATTTGACTTGGATTTGGTGTTTAGGTAAACAAACAACAAAAAAATCATGACAAGTGGCAATTAGTTCGTGAAATTCCACAATGTTCTGATTCGCTTGATGACTTTTGTGTTCCAAATCCTGGAAGCTTTGTTCAGTAATAACTATGGATTAAAAGGATTCATTTGAATTGGGTAGTAGATTCATGCATCAATTTGAAGGCTTGCAAAGCATATTTTCAAACATACATCTGATAACTGATTATCAATATATCAGGTTCACATTTTTACTTCGAGCTTCTACAGACTTAGTTATATTTGTTTTGCTTCTTTTCTGTTTGTTTGCATGTTTATGTAGTACTAGTAGTAGTTTATGTATAATTAAATGTAATGTTCATGGCTTGCCACAACGAAAATGTTTGGAAATTCACCATTTAGACACATTTTTCCGAGTCAGATATTTGGCTTACAAAGTAAGTCAATACATTGTCTCTGGTTTTAATGATTCTTAAGGTTTTTGACTGCATGACTGCATTATGATTGACTTGGGTTATCTATTGCGACAAATTCTGCAGAATACAATTACACTATATTCAATTAGTCTTTATATGGCTTCCATTATTTTTGGCTTTTAATTAGGGGGCGAGTGGCAAGCCCTGTAGTTGAATTTATTGTCCTCTGCCTTTCGAAGAAAGAAGGGGACTATTAAAATGGGTTTGTCTGTCTGTCCATCAAAATTTTTGGGACACAAAAACTCTCCTTTTAATTGAGCTAGAATGTTCAAACTTGGTGTAGGTTTTTATTAGGCCAATGCCTTGATGGAGTTCGAAGATGAACATTTTTGGCGTAGGGTAAGCAGAGATAAGCAAGTTGATTGGTTGATGCTTTGGGACACGATAACTTTAGTTCTAATTAAGTGAGTGATGAAACTTGGTGTATAGTTTCATTACATTAATACCTAGATTAAGTTTGATAATGAGCATTTTCGGCTAAGGGTAAGCAGAGCGATAAGCAATTTGATTGGCCGAGATTTTGGAATACCATAACTCTCCTAATTGAGCTAGAATTTTCGAACTTGGTGTAGCTGTTTATTAGGTCAATGCCTTGATGGAGTTCGAAGATGAGCATTTTCTGCTTAGGGTAAGGGGAGCTTGGATGGCTGAATGGTTAGCGTGCGTGCGACTGGCGTGGTTTCGAATCCCCGGTTGTACGTGACAAGAAGTAGGGTCGCCTGTCCAACCTCGTGGGTTTTCTCTGGGTCCTCCGGTTTCCTCCCACTGCTAAAGACCCCTATGCGCAGGCGAATTATTGAAATAAAATTAAACCATATGTTAGTCCCGAAATGACCTAGTTTGTGTCGAGTGGACACAATAAGCAATTTGATTGGTTGAGATTTGGAACACAATAACAGGGTTCCCGCGGTCCTTGAAAATCCTTGAATATCCTTAAATTTAAAATTTCATTTTCAAGATCTTGAATATCCTTGAATTTCCCGGAAATAGGAAAATATCCTTGAATTTCAGTTGAGATCCTTAATTTTGTTTCAAATGTCTTCAATTCCTTTTAAATATGAGATTATAACGATAGTTGGTAATGTTTTGGTTATTTTTAAGATGAAAAATTGTTACTTTAGGCTAAAAAAATGTCCTTGAAAATCCTTGAATTTGACGTATATTTATCCTTGAATATCCTTGAAAAAATGTTAGACGAAGCCGCGGGAACCCTGAATAACTCTCATTCTAATTGAGGTAGAATGTTAAAACTTGGTGTAGGTGCTTATTAGGACAATGCCTTGATGAAGTTTGAAAATGAGCATTTCCTGCTTAGGGTAAGCAGAGATAAGCATTTTGATTGGTTGATGCTTTGGGACACGATAACTTTAGTTCTAATTAAGTGAGAGTAATGAAATTTGGTGTATAGTTTCATTACACCAATACCTTGACTAAGTTCGATAATGACCATTTTCTGCTCAGGGTATGCAGAGCAATAAGCAATTTGATTGGTCAAGACTTTGGAACATAACAACTCTGCTTTTAATTGAGGTAGAATGTTTAAACTTGATGTAGGTGAATGTCTTGACTGAGTTCAATGATTAACATTTTGAACTAAAGCTAAGCAAAGCTAAGCAATTTCATTGGTCGATGCTTTGGGACAAGTTTAATTTGATTCTATCTGATAGAGACTGATGAAACTTAGTGTATAGTTGATAATCAGTTTGATTGCTTGATACTTTTGGAAAAAAGATAAATGTGCTATTAATTAATAAGTGTTATCTATTTATTTTGGCATTTTGGTGGGGGACATCAGCCTCACAGTTGGCTTGTTTAAAATCATATTAGACGTAGATAGTAATGTACTACTAGATAAGAAGGTAGGTAAATAATTGTTAGTTAGGCAGTGGGTATATTTTATGAATATGATAAGCTATATTACACTAAGCAAGAAAATTTGGCTCAAATGAAAGCTTTATGGTGACTTATTAATTGAAATTAAAGGGAAACAAGTCTAAATGATAAATGTGTGTGAAACCATCTTGGAAGTGGTAAATATATTAACCTTTAAAGAATTCTTTAAACAAGTCTGCTCTTGATAGTTTGGTTATATTAGAATAAGTTTATTTCTTGTTAGATCACAATAATTGCAGAGCTCGTATGAGTTTATCATGTACATATATTACTTATTTCTTGTTATTTTACAGCAAATAGAAGAAGTACGACAGGTTGGTTCCTTTAAAAAGGGCACCATGATGACCGGTTCTAATGTAGCTGATATAATTGTTATGTTAAAAACTTTACCAACAAGTAAGTTGTAGAATTTACCTCGATTGATATCGATTATTATTTTTAACCCCAAAAGACTATATTTCCAACTGCAGATTTTTAAATGAAATGAAAAATAGCTGCAATGAATTGGTTTTTAATTTTTTTCTTCGCTTCTTCTATATGGTTCAAAATCTGCTCTTAATAGATCACAGAATGGTGAAATTTCTATGATCTAAACATAAATGGAATAAAATTCCATCAACATTACTATTGACGATATGTCACACTCACTAACGTAGTGGCGTACAGTTATAAATTCTACTTTCAAAACACAGTGAGATATTGAAAGGTAGCACGACATTTTGGTCCCCCGTCATTTCGGATTAAGTTTGACGAAGGTTCAGACTTACTTGACAACTTTTTGGTCTCGGTCTGACGAAGTTTCAGATTCATTTTCGGACTGTTGAAATTTTCTGTGATAAATTAGTAACAGCTGTTTTTTTTTGTTGTTTTTTTTCATTGGTTAATCAGCTTTAATTATCCTGCTTTGATCGTTTCCATTTCTAATATTTTTCGGAAAGACTTTTCTTTTTACGCACTAATTTATCGATTGGTACTGCTATCTATGGCAAACTTGTTAAGGAACACATGTCAACGTGCAGATTACGGATTATTGTTAGAACTTTCTTAGTGCATGTCGTGTAAATATTTACTTTTGTTTTTGTATAGGTCATTTTGAAATAAATTCAACAGCATATTATTGTTTTTATACGCCCACATGGAAATGTGGACGTATATTGCCGTCGCCCCCGCCGTCCATCCATCCACAATTTAAAATTGATATATGTTGTTTACATTTGTGAGATGAAGAACCCTATTTAATTTCAATAATTTCCATTTATTACATCTAGAGTTTATGGCCCTTGATTCATTTTGTTATACGCCCACATGGAAATGTGGTCGTATATTGCCGTCGCCCCCGTCCGTCCATCCGTACATCATCCACAATTTCATGTGAACACTCTACAGACTACATTTATCGTCTGATTGTTTTGAAATTGATATATGTTGTTTGCATTAGTGAGATGAAGAAGCCTATTTAATTTCAATAATTTCCGTTAATTTCTTCTGGAGTTATGGCCCTTGTTTCACTTTGTTGCACCTTGTCAATGCTCTAACGACAAAAGTTATCAACCGATCTGTATGGAATTTATATGCATGATGTAAATTAGTAAAACAAAGAAGCCTATTGAATTTCGGCAATTTCCGTTAATTACATCTAGAGTTATCAACCGATCTATATGGAATTTATATGCATGATGTAAATTAGTAAAACAAAGAAGCCTATTGAATTTCGGCAATTTCCGTTAATTACATCTAGAGTTATGACCCTTGTTTCACTTTGTTGAATGTTGTGAATGCTCTTCATGACAATGGTTATCGTCCGATCTGTTTGAAATTAATATGCATCATTTAAATTAGTGAAACGAAGAAGCCTATTGAATTTCCGCAATTTCCGTTAATTACGCCGGGAGTTATGGCCCTTGTTTCACTTTGTTGTACCTTGTGAATGTTCTAGCGACAAAAGTTATTATCCGATCAGTATGAAATTTATATGCATCATTTAAATTAGTAAAACAAAGAATCCTATTGAATTTCAGCAATTTCCATTAATTACATCTAGAGTTATGGCCCTTGTTTAAATTAGTAAAACAAAGAAGCCTATTGAATTTTAACAATTTCCGTTTATTACATCTAGAGTTATGGCCCTTGTTTCACTTTGTTGAATGTTGTGAACGCTCTAATGACAACGGTTATCATCCGATCTGTTTGAAATAAATATGCATCATATAAATTAGTGAAACGAAGAAGCCTATTGAATTTCAGCAATTTCCGTTAATTACGCCAGGAGTTATGGCCCTTGTTTCACTTTGTTGTACCTTGTAAATGTTCTAGCGACAAAAGTTATTATCCGATCAGTATGAAATTTATATGCATCGTTTAAATTAGTAAAACAAAGAATCCTATTGAATTTCAGCAATTTCCGTTAATTACATCTAGAGTTATGGCCCTTGTTTCACTTTGTTGAATCATCCGATCTGTTTGAAATTGATATGCATCATTTAAATTGGTGCAACGAAGAAGCCTATTGAATTTCAGCAATTTCCGTTAATTATGATATGAGTTATAGCCCTTGTTTCACTTTGTTGTATCTTGTGAATGCTCTAATGAGAAAAGTTATTATCCGATCTGTATGAAGTTTATATGTATCATTTAAAGGACAATATTGGTGCCAGTCATTATGTGATAGAACTGGTTAAACACGTTCCAAATATTATTTTATCACAGAGATCATTGCTACAATTATAACGGCATCTGTATGAAATTGTCTATTAAATTCCCCTAATTACCTACAAAAGAATAAATATGTGACAAGCCTTGTCAACTGCTCGGATGATTTAGCTGCTGTGGGCGTATGTTTCATTGCCTGGCAACCTATCTTTTCTAGAGTTATAGCCCTTGTTTTACTTTGTGAACCTTGTGAACGCCCGAATGACAAAAGTTATCATCCAATGTGTATGAAATTTATATCAAATTTCAAAATTTTCTGTAAATTACCTAGAGAGTTAAGGCCCTTGTTTCAGTTTGTAGAACCTTGTGAACCCTCAACAAACGACAAAAATTATAATCTGATCTATATGAAATTGTATTGTAAATGCCCCCAATTGGTTACAAAATAATAAATATGCAACCACCCTTATCGACCGCTTTGGACGATTTAGCTGCTGTGGGCGTACCTTTTGTTGCCTGGCAACCTATCTTTTGAAAAATATATTACTTTTACGGGAAACGTTGAAACGTAAGTGCAACTAATGTTTTATTGTTTGGTGGAGCCTTTTAATAACCATGTGTTTCATGTTAATATTGTCTTTCGTGTTTTGAATTGGCCTATTTCTAATAAATTCATCAGCTACTTTTTATATACGCTCACATTTTCATGTGGACGTATATTGTCGTCGCCTCTAGACGTCTCTACAATTTGTTTGTGGACACTCTTCAGGTCATAATTTTTATCCGGTTTTGACGAAACTTGAAATATAGATCTATCTCCCAAAGATCTCGGTTCCTTTCGATATTGGCATGTTTTGGACCATAACTTCATGGATTATGACCCCTGATTGTACGAAAAATCCCTTTTTAGCTTGTGGGCACTCTAGAGGTCACAATTTTGATTCGATTTTGATGAAACTTGAAATGCATGTTTAGGCCCAAAGAGCTTGGTTCCTTTTGATATTCGCGCATATCGTAGCGTAACTTCCTGAATTATGGCCTCTGATGGTACGAAAAATCGCGTTTTTATGCGTCCACATGTATATTGGCGTTGCCCCTGTCCGTCCGTCAGGACATCTTTCCGTCCACAATTGTTTGTGGACACTCTACAGGTCACAATTTTTATCCAATTTCACCGAAACTTGAAATATAGCTTTATCTCCCTAAAATCTCTGTTCCTTTTGATATTGGCATGTATCGAACCATAACTTCATGGATTATGGCCCCTGATTGTACAAAAAATCGCGTTTTTAGCTTGTGGACCCTATAGAGGTCACAATTTTTATCCGATTTTGTTGCAACTTGAAATGTAAATTTATAACCCAAAGATCTCGGTTCTTTTCGATATTCGCATATATTGGACCGTAACTTCCTGAATTATGGCCCCTGATTGTACGAAAAATCGCGTTTTTAGCTTGTGGACCCTATAGAGGTCGTAATTTTTATCCGATTTAAAAAATCATTTTAGTATATCACCGTTACACCCTAAGGACAGCTGAGTTCGAATTTCGTAAAAATCAGACCAAAACTGACAGACAAAATAGCCGTCCCTCGTACTGTGGACCCTCTAGAGGTCACAGTTTTCTTTTGATTTTGATGAAACTTGAAATGTAAGTTTATAACCCAAAGATCTTGGTTCCTTTCGATATTCGCTCATATCCAACCGTAACTTCCTGAATTATGGCCCCTGATTGTACGAAAAATCACGTTTTTAGTTTGAGGTCCCTCTAGATGTCACAATTATTATCCGATTTAAAAAAAGTTCAAATATATCAGTGTTACACCGTAATTTTGGTTGAGTTTGAATTTCGTGAAAATCAGACCAAAACTGACAGACAAAATGGCCGCCCTCGTACACAATTAGCGTAAAAATATGGTATATCAATGTCGTGGACCCTCTAGAGGTCACAATTTTCTTCTGATTTTGATGAAACTTGAAATGTAAGTTTATAACCCAAAGATCTTTGTTCCTTTCGATATCCGCGCAGATCGGATCGATTTATGACCCCTAATTATACGAAAAATCACGTTTTTAGCTTGTCGACTCTATAGAGGTCATAATTGTACAAAAAATCCTGTTTGTTTTTAGCTTTTTCTCTATCCATCTCTTGCAAAATGTGGGCGTATCCTGCCTGGCAGCCGCTGGTTGAATTTTGGCAATTCCATCTATGGTCCTTGTGACAAAAGTTAATATCTGATATGTATGAAATTTATACGCTGCATTTAGATTAGTGAAACGAAGAAGCCTAATGAATTTCAGCAATTTCAGATAATTACATCTGGAGATACATGTGTATGGCCCTTGTTTCACTTTGTTGAACCTTGTGAACGCTCGGTCGACAAAAGTTATCATCAGAGCTGTATGAAATTTATATCGATTTTTTTAATTAGTAGAACCTTGTGAACCCTCAAACGACGAAAATTATAAACTGATCTGTATGAAATTGTCTTTTAAATGACCCCCACCCCCTTCCCATATCCCACAAAAGTATAAATATGCGACTACCCTTGTTGACTGCTCGGACGATTTAGCTGCTGTGGACATATGTTTCATTGCCTCCCAACCTATCTTACTGATTTCAGAAGAGGCAGTTGCTGCTCTAGGTAATAAAGTTTTAGAAGAGTTGAAAGTACAAGAACCACAAGAAGGTATACCATTGTGACAGTTAAATATAAATTGACTTTATATAGTAGACAATGCAGGCCAAACACAAAACAGAATGAATAGTACAAGAATTTGACACTTACAAAGACCTGTAACACAACATAAAATAAACCGAAATAACTTGAATGTTAAAATTGTTATATTTACAGTATGACACATCTTCAATAGAAGGCTTGATCTTGCTTTAACTATATACATCTTATCAAGGCCTTCACGTAATACCCTGCATATTTCAGCACTAATTTCGATTGGGTACTTAAAAAAATTTTCCACCCATCCCTGCAATAAAGGAACACATGTAATCAATTATCAATCCAATAGATTTATTTATACATAAATAAATAAGATATAACAATAAACATTCATTCATTCATCGCAAGTACACTATTTGTTTAATTTATTTACATCATCACCTGTATATACTTGTTAGACCTCTGATGGAACTGTTGTGGTATAACATCTTTAAATAGTTGATCTTCAGGGCAATTCCGCGGCAGAAAATAAAAAATGCCAAAAAAGAAAATTGATGTATATGAACCAATTTTGTTTTATTTAAGTTCAGAAATGATGCCAATCAATGAATCTGGTAGAGTTAATTACACGCAAATGCTTTGGTCAAAAAAAAATTAGGTCTAAGTCAAAACTTATTTTTCTTACTTTTTACTACAATTTTTGCAATTTAAACACTGAAGTCTGCATCAGTTTTTGTTTACATTGAAAATATTTAATATTTGGGTTTTTTTACAAAGAAGTACATCTATTTCATCATAAACATCCATTTATATCATATTCTTTAGATCAATTCTTCATACAACAGTTTAAAATATACCCCCAATTTACACTGTAATGCCGTTACCATTCCTATCTAAAAGTTTCAATCATTTCTTGATTACCAAATTTTATAAGTTAGTGTTTCCAAATTTTCTAATTACTAATTGCACAGATATAAGAAAGGTAAGGGTCAGACACCTACATGAAGTGGTTTTCTTGGAAAAGCGGTAACGGAATTACATATCTGAGCGGTAACGGAATTACAAATATTAGAATACCATCATTTCTATTGTTCTAATAACAAAATTACAAACTATTTAGAGGATAAAGTTAAAAGCAACACTTTATTCAATAATTATAAAGAATTAGACCCATTTATGCTAACTCTTTTCAGTCAAACAAACTACAAAGCATTTTTCTGAACACAAAATGCAAAAAGTGATTAACAACTGTACCAAATTTAAAGTTATCCTGGTGGTTACACATTTCTAAGCAAGGTGTGGTTTCAATGTGTATTACATTGATATATCATATAAATATCTTTATTCATATCAAGTTTGCATGTTTGCAACAGTGTTGCAACATTGCTGAGACTCAAGTTCATTCATGCTGTCAGAATCTGACAGTACTTGACCTTCTCTAATTTTTCTGGAAACACTGAAATCTTATTAAAATAATTAAATCTATTTAGTTTATTAGTTTTGAAAATTATTTTTGTTAACAATTTGATTAAACTGACACAGTAGTACCATTTTCATGCTTTAAAAACTAGTCCAAGGTAACAGAATTACATTTAAGGCTATTTAGCTATGAAAAACAGCTTAATGATTGATACTTTTTGCTTTTTTGTTGTCAAATCTGTAAAAATAGTTAAAAATCAAAAGGCAATTTTTATAAAATAAATAAACATATTGTCCACTGGCTCTAACATATGATTTTGAAGCTCTATAAGTAACCTCGTCAAGTCGGACTGTGTCACTCAAATTGTCTGATCTAAATACCGTTTTAAGAAAAAGTAAGCAATTATAAAAATGTACAATAATCAATCAACTAAATTGAATTAATTTTTTGATGTTACCAGTATGTCATAATCTTTTATTATAAACTAAACTGTTATTTGTATCAAGTTAATTATTGGATTTACAATTATGTGTATCTTACGGCCATACATTTAGATTTACTGAATTCATACCAAAATATAATTATAACCATTGTTGAAATATTCTCAAAATTGGTTAATTATATAAAATTTTCTCTTTTTGAAATATTTTATTTTGATAAACCTGTGCTATAACGCATTTATTTAGAAACGTAATTCCGTTACCATGACATGTAATTCCGTTACCACAGAAAATAATCACTTGTCACAAAGTTATCGGACAGGTTGCAAAATGGATCAGCTGAAATATTCCGCAGAGCATTACTTTATATCCTATTTTTAAGAAATGTAGATCTGTCTGTATAAATCACAGAGTTTCTTAAATAACCACAACCATCTAAATGAGGGGTTTTGACTTGTAATTCCGTTACCATGGGGTTCACCTACACAGACACTTTATACGTTCATGCAGCAAGTCAGTGGTTATTTTTTAGAGAAAATATGCCTGTTAGCTCTCACTCTAGTACAGATTTGACAACAAAGTAGCCAAGGGTAAAAATCTGTTAGTCGTTTTACAGTACCAAATAGTTCTAAATGTAATTCCGTTACCGTGGAATTGCCCTTATGTTCAAAGTGACGTTTAATGGTCACTGGAGGCAGTGTGCTCTACCAGAGCCGAATTTCTAAAATTCTGGGAACCAGTCACAAAACTGTTCAGGACCTTATGTTTCTGACAACGATGTTTTAATTAATCAGTTTGTACTGTGTACGTGACGAGTTAGACTGTTGACTATTTCTCCATACACGGGGGAAAAAGTAGTTCCGAATGATTAATGCATTTAAATAATTCAAAGTCATAAAAATGTACAACACTTAACATACTTATTAAACTTATCAATATATTAACTCTTATTAATATTTGGGGAGATCAAACAATATCATTCTAGTATTTTCACTCGATAACATGTAAAGATAATTGCACATGTATCAAAATGGCGACGAGCGTAAAAGTTGATTGTGTCGGCAAAAGTAACGTCTATCAGTTGTTACTATAAAAGAAAACAAAAGGATTAAAAACACACCTGACAATACATCTTTGTGTAGGAATATCATATCTTAACCATGGGAATGTTTGTTACGAGATTTTAAGACAGACTTTGTTTTTCGGAGCGGAACTGTCTTCCTCGTGGGCGATGTTGAAGAAGGGAGGTTGGATTCGTTGACGACAATGTTATCATCTCGCTTTCTTTTGTTATTCTGAGAGCTTTGGAATTTCAACATTATGAAATGATTTAAAGCATGCTAACATTTCTGATATATCATTCGTGTGATTAACTTTAGTTATCAAGTGAAGACATCAAAGTAAAATTTTTAATTTGTTTGATGTTTATACAGTTAATATGGCTGCACAAGCGATGAAAGTCGGCAATTATGCTGTAACAACAACTCGGTTTTAAGAATGATCACACAGTACTAGGCCTTATTATAAAACAAAACACAGCTAATTAAAGAGATTAAATGTTAAGCTTTTAATCTGTTTTGATGTTAATCCTCCATTGATTGTGATTAGAGCAATATACACAATGATAATTAATTGGCAGTGGTTTCCATCCGTGGACTACTAAACACTGTTAATATTATTATATCTGACAGTTTACATCATGATGTGATTTTATGGTTTTGCGCAAAATATGCTATTTTTCCGGAGTGCAAAATGACCTACGGGTCTGATCCAGTTTCGGTCATTTTCCAGAGCCCTTGGTCCCGACCGGCATATACAGCCAACATGGAACCCATGGTACAAGCCCAGCATGTGGGCCTATCAAATTCCTCTATCATCGCAAATACCAAATCTTGCGCTTTCAAGCTAAAATGTCTACTTGTGGTAATCGAGTTGCAAAGTTCAAGGTTCGTTCAATGTCTAGGTTTCCGTGGAGGCCGCTATGTCACAACCTCTGATTAAGCGCTACTGTTCATGTGTCTGTAGATAACGTAGCTATAAGTTTGGGAATGGTGCTTGAGGAACATGAATATGACAATACCATTGTTTTAACATTTGTAGAAATGAGAGTTTATCAGTCAATAACCCCAGTTGCTCATGGCATGTGATTAACTACAATTATGACATTAAGGAGTCTTTTTGACATTGTCTTTGTGGTTAATTCTAATACATAAATGTTGCAAGTGCTTGTACTGTAAATATAAAAATCAACATTGCATTACCTGCTTTGGGAATGGGGTGCCGAGAGGTGTGATCCAGTATTATATACTAGGAAAATTTTAAAATCTTAAATGTCTTGTGAATTATGTCAGTTCTAGAAAATTAATATTGGCCATTATTTTGTAAGATAATATATGTCAGATACCAAAAAAAAGCTCCTTGAATGTAGAATTTAAATTATTTATATTTGTGTTAAGAAATAGAAAAGGTTTTTTTTGTATTAGATATAAATATTAAATAGGAGACGATCTAGATGTGACAATTCTATGTTTGTTTTCAGTTCTAAGTATGTTAACTAATGAAACTGGGTTTGAGATAAGTTCAGCAGATGCCAGTGTAAAATGTCTCATATCAACAATTCCTCCGAATCTCAAGAAACTAGATCCAGAATTACACTGTAAGTAGAAGAGCTTTTTTTATACGCCCACATTTCCATGTGGATGTATATTGTCGTCTCTCCTGTCCGTCCGTCCACAATTGTTTGTTGACGTTCTACAGGTCACAATTTTTATCTGATTTCAACAAAACTGGAAATATAAGTTTATCTCCCAAAGACCTCGGTTCCTTTCGATATTGGCATGTATTGGGTCGTAACTTCATGGATTATGACCCCTGATTGTACGAAAAATCACGTCTTTAGCTTGTGGTCCCTATAGCGGTCACAATTTATATGCATTATTTAAATTAGTGAAACCACAAAGCCTATTGAATTTCAGCAATTTACAATTATTACTTGTAGAGTTATGGCTCTTGTTTCACTTTGTTCAACTTTGTTAATGCTCGATTGATGAAATTTATCATCCGATAAGTATGAACTTTATATGCATCATTTAAATTTGTGAAACAGAGGTTTATTGAATTTCAGCAATTTCCGTCAATAATTTCTAGAGTTCTGACGATTGTGAACGTTTGAATGACAAAAGTGATCATGTGATCTGTATGAAATTTATATGCATTATTAAAATTAGTAAAATGAAAAAGCCTGTCAAATTTCAACAATTTCTGTAGATTACTTCCAGAGTTGAGACCCTTGTTTCAGTTTGTAGAACCTTGTAAACACTCAAACGACAAAATTTATAATCTGATCTGTATGGAACTGTCTTGTAAAGGCCCCCAATTACCTACAAAGGAATAAATATGCGACAACTCTTGTCGACCGCTGCTGTGGGCGTATGTTTTGTTGCCTGGCAACCTATCTTAATTTACAATATAGCTGTTAGGTTTTTCAATAAGACAACTTTCCATACTCTATATACATTTACACTCCCTAGAACATGTATAACTTTGAATACCCTTTGTTATTAAATTCTCTATTTTGTCAATATTGTGTAGTGGATGGAAAGGTTATGCAAGGACATCTGGCTGGTATTCGTCATGCCAGGTGGTTTGAAGAAAATGCTGGACATTCAAGGTAATAAAGAGTTCTACTGTTTCTTAATTATTTTCATGTGGATGTATATTGTCGTCGCCCCTGTCTGTCCATCCGTCCACAATTTGTTTGTTGACACTCTACAGGTCACAATTTTTATACACCCACATTGAAATGTGGTCGTATATTGTTGTCGCCCCCCGTCCGTCCTTCGGTCCGGCGTCCACAATTGCTTGTGAACGCTCTAGAGGCTAAAGTTAATATCAGATTGACTTTAAATTTATACACAGTGTTTAAAGTCATGAGACAAAGAAGCCTATTTATTTTCAGCGATATATGATAATTATTGCCAGAGTTATGGCCCTTGATCACTTTGAATAATCTTGTGGACGCTATAGAGGCTAAAGTTAATATCCGATTGACTTTAAATTTATACACAGTGTTTAAGGTCATGGGACGAAGAAGTCTATTCATTTTCAGTGATTTTCAATAATTACTGCCAGAGTTGTGGCCCTTGATCAATTAAAAAAATCTTGTGAATGCTCTAGAGGCTAAAGGCTAAAGTTAATATCAGATTTGACTTTAAATTTATACAAAGTGTTTGAGGTCATGAGACGAAGAATCATAATGATTTTCAACGATTTCCGATAATTACTGCCAAAGTTATGGGCCTTGATCACTTTGAAAAGTCTTGTGACGCTCTAGAGGCTAAAGTTATCATCTGATTGACTTCAGATTGATACACAGAGCTTAAGATCTTGAGACGGACAAGTATATTGATTTTCAATGAATTTTTATGACTTGAACAGCTAAATCCATGATATTAAAAGTTTCGTATATACTAAACCTTAGCATGGGGCAGAACTTTATAAAAACCAAACAAATTCTAATAGTTTTCTGATAATTACTTCATGAGTTGTTACTCTTAATCAGATTTTAGTGTATTATAAATGTTTCATTACCGAAAAAAGTAAAAAATATTCGACAACACTTGTTGACTCCCCGGACGATCTAGCTGCAGTGGGTGTATGTTTCGTTGCCTGGCAACTTATCTTTTGAAGAGTATAGAATCTCTATTTTCATACCCCCCACAAAAAATATATGGCAAAGTATTTATATTATAGAGAATTTATTCTCTTAAGATGGGTGGGAACGAATAGTCTTTAATGCATGTGCTGTAGATAGTAAGATCTGTCATTGAGTTAAATGGTGTGGTTTCGATCTCACAAGTAGAGTCACCTGCCTAACATTGGGCTGACCTTAAAAATATCTTTGTTTCACCAAACCCGACCCACAATCGAGGAGAAGGGTCGGTAGGTCGGTTTTTTTTTCAGATTTTTTTTTAAAGTCAGAGAAATCAATACAGAAAACTTATTAGCTGTATACTACAGATTCATTAATTTTGTTTAATGAATTTGGGGTCTGACGTAAAAAGTAACGAACTGAAAGTTTTTATTAAACTTATTAAACATTCGTCTTCTTTATTGGCAAACAAATCAATGACATCGGGATTTTTCGTGATGCCCTACTCGCACACGATTTGCCACGAACTCGAAGTGTGAAACTCCTTCAACACGTTTTTAACGATAGTGCGGGTTGTGCCTTCATTTTTCTCGAAAACGGATATTGAAAATATCGTCGTCATGTTTAAAACTACGCACCACAGACATAGAGGCAGAATCATTTCGTGGGAATGGACGTGTATTCGTCTGCAACCATTTTGTTGAGAAGCGACACCTATGACGCTTTTGTCTTGATCAACCAGTTTCAATAATGAATCAAACCATAGCCATAGTAAAGGGAAATAACTCTCATGATATATTTCAGGTTGACACACAAAATAAAATAAAAAGATCGTGGAAAAGTGCAATAAAATAATTTAAGTCGGGGGTGGTTTTAGTTAGTCGGTCGCGTTAGGCGAAACAAAGATATTTTTAAGGTCAGCCTTGTGGGCTTTCTCTGGGTCTTCCACTTTCCACCCATTGCTAAAGACCCCTTATTGAAATAAAATTGTACCATATTTGTGTTGTGTGGATGTTAAACTGTATATTAGTTAGTATTATTTGGCTAGTTTAAGTAGTTAGGTATATTTTGTGCAACTGGATAAGGCCGCGGTTAATTAATTGTCTGTTTCTCATGACCCGCCCGCATGTCTGTTTTCATCCGTAATAATCACACACTTCTTTAATTATTCGGTCAAATTTAGTATTTATTAGTAAGGAGAAAATTCGTTGAAAATATTTGTGAAGTTACATTTTTTTGGCAAAGCGATGAACAATCTATCTATTTTATTCATAAATATGTAACTAAATATGAAGTATATATTATTATACTGTGCTATTATACGCGTCTACGGTGTATAATTAACTCGGCAAAAATACGAAGTCTGTCCGTAAACAGGAAGTTCTACTATGAAGCCAGCGCAATTACCCAGACACACTTTAGTCAGTGATTTTGACAAGACTGTCGTCTTGGAAGAAATTTTAATACATGGTTTTGTATATTATCTAATAAATTCCATAAACTCGGCTTGTAAACTTTTTCCATTACAGATTTATGTTAATTTCTGATTTATCACTGAGATGTATTTAGAAAGGAATGACAATAGTAATACAATGTAGATCCATAGAACTAGAATACTATGGCGTTTGATTCAGTTACAACCGTATGTGCCTCATTTGTAGAGAAATGCGAGACACTTTCACATATCGATAGTGAAAATGAAAGTAGAAACACCTTACGGTCGGCAATAAATTAGACTTATAGTACCGACTCAAGATTTGTTGGAATTTGATGAAGTTTTGGTCAGAAATGGAATCGACTGGATCGCTATTGACCAGACATCTTTTGATATAATAACTCTTAAAGTTGTTGGAAACTTTAAAATACCGTATTAATATTAATTGTGTTCAAAAATTAAAAAAATATATCAACTCAGAAATTAATATTAGGCCTAATGTGTTTGAAATAAAAATGCCAAAATTCAAAGAACTTTCTTAGGAGGAGTTGCTAAAGACTTTATCTTTAATCAAATAAATTGTTATATTTTATAAACAGATCGCATACTCCTAAGAAATTTGATGAATTATACTAGGCCCTAGCCCTGAGTCCCTAATAATAGCCAGTGTACATGTAGATGTTCTCAGACTGAGAGTTACTTTAAAAGACCTCTTCCTGTGTACTCCTCGATGAACTAAAGAGCTTCTTATTATAAACCACAGCATGCCCATAGCTATAAGAGTTTATGTTGCTTCAGTTTTTTCGACAAGTTTTGGATTGCAGCTCAATAATTAATAATTACCTCATGTAGCATGTTGTTTTCAAAAACTCAGGTCATGAGAAACATACAATTAATTAACCGCGGCCTAATCACATGATGAACAAAAACATCATTAGATTCCTTACCACAGTTCTTATTACTTTCGTATTATACACTATCTGTTTTAGTATCAAAGTCCTTATTCGTTTACTGAGAGATTTACGTAACAGATTTGAAGGTTTACAACCTTTAACCCCATGGATTATTGATCTTCTGGTAGGTAATATTTTTTATGGTTACAGTCCGAACGTTGCGAAGGTTTGACGAAGCATGATATTACTGTGTTTTTATACGCCCACATTTTCATGTGGACATATATTGTCTCCGTCCGTCCGGACGTCCACAATTTTTTGTGGACACTCTACAGGTCACAATTCTTATCCGATTTTGACGAAACTTGAAATATAGGTTTATCTCCAAAAGATCTCGGCTGCTTTCGATATTGGCATGTATCGGATCGAAACTTCATGGATTATGGCCCCTGTTTGTACGAAAAATCACGTTTTTAGCTTGTGGACCATATAGAGGTCACAATTTTTATCCGATTTTGTTGAAACTTGAAATCTAAGTTTATAACCCAAAGATCTCGGTTCCTTTCGATATACGCGCATATCGGACCGTAACTTCCTGAATTATGGCCCCTGATTGTACGAAAAATCGAGTTTTTTAGCTTGTGGACCCTATAGAGGTTATAATTTTTATCCGATTTAAAAAAACGTATCATTATATCACTGTTACACCCCAAGGACGACGGAGTTCGAATTTCGTGAAATGGCTGCCGTTTGTTCTCAAATAGCGTAAAAATATGGTATATCAAGGTTGTGAACCCTATAGGTCACAATTTTTATCCGATTTTGTTGAAACTTGAAATGTAAGTTTATAACACAAAGATGTCGGTTCCTTTCGATATTTGCTCATATCGAATTGTAATTTCCTGAATTATGGCCCTTGATTGTAGGAAAAATCACTTTCTTTTTAGCTTGTTCTCTATCCATCTCTCTAAAATGTGGGCGTATCCTGCCTGGCAGCCGCTGGTAGATAAACAAAGTGGCTATGGGCAATTTTATTCTTTGATCTTTTATACACGGGACATTTCTATTATTCAAACCAATCTGCACATGAATGAGGGCCTCCCTCATGACGAATGACGAATGACAAGGAATGTCTAAGCAATAACTGCTCCCATTAGGCCAATATAATTCAACTACAGTATTGGGTTTAATAACTATAAACTTGATTTGTATTTTTTGAGGTAATTCATATTTTATTTCAATTGGATGAAAATGATCAGGGAACAGCCATAGCCTGTATCACACTAGATAAGAAACCTCATCTCTCAACCTTCCGTCTGTATATCTCAACGTTTTTATGCGCCCACATTGACATGTGGACGTATATTGTCGTCGCCCCTGTCCGTCTGTCCACAATTGTTTGTGAACACACTACAGGTCACAATTTTTATACGATCTCAATGAAACTTGAAATATAGGTTTATCACCATAAGATCTCGGTTCCTTTCGATATTGGCATGTATTGAACTATAACTTCATGGATTATGTCCCCTGATTGTACGAAAAATCACGTTTTTAGCTTGTGAACACTGTAGAGGTCGCAATTTTTATCCGATTTCTTTTAAACTTGAAATATATGTATATAACCCACAGACCTTGGTTCCTTTCATTATTCCTGCATATCGAACCATAACTTCCTGAGTTATGGCTCCTGATTGTACGAAAAATCGCGTTTTTAACTTGTAGACCTTATAGAGGTTACAATTTTTATCTGATTAAAAAAAAGTTTGAATATATCAACCTTAAACCCTAATGATGGTTGAGTTTGATTTTTGTAAAAATCGCACCGAAACTGACAGACAAAATGGCCCCTGATTGTACGAAAAATCACATTTTTAGCTTGTGGTCCCTCTAGAGGTCACAATTATTATCCGATTTAAAAAAAAAAGTTCGAATATATCACCGTTACACCGTAATTTTGTCTGAAATTGAATTTCATGAAAATCGGACCAAAACTGACGGACAAAATGGTCTCTCCCCCCCCCCCCCCCCCCCCCCCCCCCCCCCCCCGTACACATATAGTGTAAACATCTGGTATATCAAAGTTGTGGACCCTCTAGAGGCCACAATTTTGATCTGATTTTGATGAAACTTGAAATGCAAGTTCATAACTCAAAGATCTTGGTTCCTTTCAATATTTGTGCATATCGGATCGTAACTTCCTGAATTATTGTCCCTGATTGTACGAAAAATCACATTTTTAGCTTGTGGTCCCTCAAGAGGTCACAATTATTATCAAATTTAAAAATAACGTTCAAATATATCACCGTTACACTGTAATGTCTGTTGAGTTTTCGAATTTCGTGAAAATCGGGCCAAAACTGCCGGACAAAATGGACGCCTCTCGTACGCAAATAGTGTAAACATCTGGTATATCAAGGTTGTGGACCCTCTAGAGGTCACAATTTTGATCCGATTTCGATGAAACTTGAAATACATGTTTCTAACCAAAAGATATTGATTCCTTTCGATATTCGAGCATATCGGATTGTAACTTCCTGAATTATGGCCCTTGATTGAACAAAAAATCACGTTTTTAGCTTGTGGTCTAAGTAGAGGTCGCAATTTTTATCCGATTTAAAAAAAACGTGTGAATATATCACCATTACACACTAAGATCTTGGTTCCTTTTGATAATCGCGGATACCCAAACTTAATAAACTTCCTGGATTATGGCCCCTGATTGTTCGAAAAATTGCATTTTTAGCTTGCAGATTCTCTAGAGTTCACAATTTTTTTCCGATTTTAAAAACCATATAAATATATTACCATTCCACCATAATGAAGGTTGAATTTGAATTTCTGAAAAATCGAAATGAAACTGCCCAACAAAATGGCCGCTCTTTGTACGCAAATTGTGTAGAAGTGTGTATTAATACGAAAGCTGTGGACCCTCTAGAGGTCACAATTTTTATCTGATTTGATGAAACTTAAAACATCTTTATATCCCAAAGATCTCAGTCCCTTTTGATATTTGCACATTTCAGGCCATATTTTTCTGGATTATTGCCCTTGATTGTACAAAAAATCGCATTTATTTTTAGCATGTTTTCTATCCATCTCTTGGAAAATGTAGGCGTATCCTGTCTGGCAGTCGCTGGTTACCTACGTTATCGTAGCTAGTATCAGACCTCTTCTCATACAAAGTCTTGTCAATCTGGTGACTTGTCATTCGTGCGGTGAATCCGTGTCATTCGTCTTGTGAACCTGTGTCATTCTCTAGATCTGTGTTACTCACTTTGTCATTCCTCGGGCCGGTGGATTATGTCATTTAGTTTGTCATTCGTCTGGCGAAGCTCTGTCATCCACTTTGTCAGTCGTCTGGTGAACCTCCGTATAGGTGTACGGAGGGGGGGGGGATTTCACCTGGGCAGGATGTGGCTATTTGCCCGAAAATTTTCTTTTTCTTCCGAATTTTTAGAATGAATCAATCTGAAACTAGAACGAGTTTTGCACAAAGCTCCACTTACGTATTATAGTATTTAAAAAGTAAACCACAAGCGATTTCATTTGCCAATCAATTCACTTTGTCATACTCCTGGTAAACTTTGTCATTCGTCTGCTGAATCTGACATTATCTTTGTCATTTGTGGCAGTATATCGTTTTGACATCGATTGTTTATAACAAATAAATACCGTTAATTTTGCGAGGCCTATTGTGTCACACGATAGCTACTGCTACACCAAGTTATTTATCGTGGCAATTTTCAACAAAAAACGACCCGATAATCGTGTTTCGTCAAACCTTGGCGACGTTTGTACTGTATATTATATAGTTTATAAGATTATTATATATAATAGAGGGATCACGGTGGCTAAGTGTGTAAAACGCTGGCTTGCTAACCTGGAGGTCGGGTGTTCGATCCCTTCATTGGCCGAGAAAATTCATCTTGAATTTCCGGCGTGGTTCCCCCTTGTGAGTGATGCAGGACGGAGGGCCTGACAAGGACAGCTGTCTAGTCGTTCTAATGGTATGGAAAACCAATGTCCCACGTACACATTGGCGTGCACGTAAAAGATTCCTTTACAGTTGGAATTCGATATAAGAGTAGGGCGTAGTGCCGCTGTCCGAGCAAAATTTCCCTCATAACACACTGTATGGCGTATGCCGTCTTCATTAGCCCAGTTTAGAGTAGGATGTTAAATCCCATTTCATTATATATAAAAGATATTTTTATACGCCCACATTTTCATGTTATCGTATATTGTCGTTGCCCCTGTCCGTCCGTCCACAATTGTTTGTGAACAGTCTACATGTCACAATTTTTATCCGATTTCAATGAAACTTGAAATATAGGTTTATCACCCTAAGATCTCGGTTCCTTTCGATATTGGCATTTATCGGACTGTAACTTCATGGATTATGGCCCCTGATTGTATCTGATTTTGTTGAAACTTGAAATGTAAGTTTATAACCCAAAGATCTTGGTTCCTTTCGATATTTGCGCATATCGAATTGTAAAATTTCCTGAATTATGGCCCTTGATTGTAGGAAAAATCACTTTCGTTTTAGCTTGTTCTCTATCCATCTATCGAAAATGTGGGCGTATCCTGCCTGGCAGCCGCTGGTTTAAACTTATTTTCAGGTGTGCTGAATTGAATAAGCATACACTATTTTGTGCATGACACCCTTCATAAGTCATATTAAAAGAGAACAGTGGTTTCCACTGAAACTTGGGCTTTTGAAGCTACTAAGTAGAAATTAACCTCAAGGTAAAGGATCATTGGCAATCAGACAGCCAGTTGATAACCAAACTTGTTAACTTATTAAAGCATCAGACATATGAGGTGAATGTGGTGTTCAAAAATGATGTATAATTTTTTTTACAGGCCCATTATGCTGTTGTCAACAATCCATCAAGACAGCCTCAACCCATTAATATAGCATTTAAGTAAGTCATATGTTTTTATTTTGTTGCCCCCCGCCTTTAGAAGAAAGGACAAAAGTGGTTGTACAATATGAGCATTCTGTGACGGTTTTTAGGGTTTTCAACGCATTCTTTAACGCTGTATCTTCATTACTACATAATCATATTGCTCAATGAGTATCAAACATATACAGTTGCTCTGATATGCTACACATCAACTCTTGCATGTTCCACACAGCCCAAAATTGCTTGGAAATAACTTCCTGGACCCCACTAGTAATATATATTGGGTTTTTGTGCCTCCACTGACAACTAGTCTTTTTCAATTAAAAGAAGGAGTTTAATTTAAATGTTACTGCTAAAGATTATCAATCTGTATAATGTGGCATGAAAATTTGTTTTGATAGTAAAATTGTATAAATATTTATATTTTAGACGATGTCTACAGTTACTGAGTGCTGGTTTCTTTTTACCTGGTTCTGTGGGCATTACAGACCCTTGTGAACAGGGTACAGTTAGAATACATACAGTCATGACCTTAGAGCAACAGGTTGGCTTTTGTAATTTTAATCAAAAGAGCATTGTGAAATTTTTGATAAAGCTGCAATTTTATTAAATGTGTTTATGATTTGGCCCAAATACAAATAAATATGTCAAAATGTTTGAACATATAAATAAAAAATAATTTTAACATATACTATTCAAAAAAAGTAGGGGATATTTGATTTTGGGGGCATAATACTAAAATATGCAAATGACTACGAAAAAAGTCACTATAGAACCTAACAGAAGAAACATTTCCAGTTACATGTGACGCCCAAACGCACCAATAGCTACCGCATGGAATGCAGGTGATGCTTGGGATCATCATGGGTGTCCAACCCAAGATTTGCACGACTCTGACTTTGAATGTTACAGTCATTGTGGCATTGAATTCCAGGGTGGAAACATCAGTTTAATTGTTTTAGTGACCAGAAAACAAATTTTGATATGCGTCGGCTTACCCAAAATGAAAGGTTACGTGCCCTTGGCATGCTACAGATCGGCACAACACAGGCGGTTGTGGCGCGGACGATGAATGTTTCTCAGTCTGTCATAAGCAGGCTATGGTCCAGATACCGTGATACACAATCTGTACAGGACAGACCACGCTCAGGTCGACCAAGGGCGACAACTCAAGCCCAGGATCGATTTATCCGTACCTTGGCCTTGAGAAATCGTGTCATCACAGCAAATCAGATCAGCGCTCGTCTTCAAACAGACACTGGTGTGAGAGTGAGTGGCCAGACGATTCGGAATCGACTGCATAGGGGTCACCTTCGCGCCCGACGTCCTCGCGTGATCCCTTGTTTGAGAGATCATCACATTCAGGCAAGACGTCGTTGGTGTAGGGATTGTCAACACTGGGATAATCGACGCTGGAGCAATGTGATGTTTTCAGATGAGTCAAGGTTCACTGTTTATTTTTTGGACAGACGTAGGAGGGTGTGGCGTCGTTGAAACGAGCGCTTCCAAGACGTTAACGTCATCAGACATGATCGATTTGGGGATGGTTCTGTTATGGTGTGGGGAGGCATCACTGTTGCTGGAAGAACGGCTTTACATGTTGTTGCAGGGCGTGTTACAGGCCAGTACTACCGGGACAACATCTTGGCAGTCCATGTTGTGCCGTTCGCACGACGTCATGGCCGCCGTTTCATCTTCCAGGATGACAACGCAAGATGTCACAGGGCCAGGATCGTTACAGGTTACCTCCAACAACAGAACATCACCACATTACCTTGGCCAGCACTGAGTCCCGACCTCTCCCCCATCGAGCATGTCTGGGACATGCTTGGACAGAGGTTACGTCAACGTCAACACATCCTGCCAATGTCCAAGAACTTGCTGCTGCGTTGCAACAGGAATGGGACAATCTGGACCAAAATGACCTTAGACGTCTCATTAGGAGTATGCCACATCGGATCAATCTTGTTTGGCAAACAGAGGAGGATTTACCCGTTACTGACTTGGTTGTGATGCTGTGGTAACTTTGCTGTTTGACCCCGGGTATCATTTTACCCTTATAATGGTCAGTCTGTGCCTTACTTAGTCTAACGATCATTTGGAATAAATCGATGAATGTGAACTTCATTTCATTTTGTCATTTGTTTCTTCGTCAGTTTCATTAGGTGACTTTAATAACACTTAAAAATCAAATATCCCCTACTTTTTTTGAATAGTATAATTAAACTTTAAATGTGGTATTCCCTGCCTTGATGTGTTAGTTTAGAGAATATTAATATTTGATGTTTATATTTTTTATAGGATCAAGTATGTTTTACAGCTCAAACTTTATTACGTGTTTTATCTCATGGTGGTTATAAACAGATTCTGGGTATGGAGGGTAATTCTAGTAAGTATTCAACCAATTGTTGAAAAATATATTAAATACAGATGTAACAGCTACATGTATGTATGTTCGAAATACTGGTTGATAATCTATACAGCAAAGTTGGTTATCCTTGCCATATGCATGTGTGTTCGGAGACGGCAAAAGAATTGCATAGCACTTTTGCTATTAGTATCGAATAGTAGTGGTTTGCAGTTGGTGATACACTATTCCTCTACTGAGTAAACCATTTTGTTTGAATGCTCTTGATACCCATTTTTATCACCCAATAACACATTCTACCGTAGATATCGCTTGTGTGATAAGTTTCATGGTCTACTTGGCGATATCTCCTTAGGAGATGTCCCTTTACATGAATTTGGTTGGTCAATTAAAAAGGAACTACTTTTTATATATTGTTCGTGTGTATCGCCTACAGGCCACGATTCTTAAGTGATCATCTTGAAACTTTACATATTTATTCCTTATACCACAGGGGCAGAGCCAGGTGCATTGCTTGTATTTGTTTGTCTTCTACAGGCGGCATTTATTAACGTATCATCTGAAACTTTGCATACTTATACTTTGTACCCTAAGGAACAATCCCAATTGTTTGTGGTGAATGCCCAACCCCCAGGGTCAGAGCCATGCCCATTTTCTTTTTGTGTGTCACTTACAGCCCTCAATTCTTAATCAGTCGTCTTGAAAACTTTTTTAAACTTATTCCTTATACCCTAAGGCTGATCTATTATATTTGGTGCATGCCCAACCCCTGCGACAGAACCACGCCCAATGTTTGTGTGTCTTGGGTTTCGCCTACAGGCCGCAATTCTTAACAGATCCTTTTGAAACTTTGCATTCCTATTCCTTATACCCTAAGGATGACCCCTATTGTTTTTTTGGTGATTGCCCAAGCCCCAGGGGCAGAGCCATACCCATTTTTTCTTTGTGTCTCCTGTGTGTTGCCTACAGACCACGATTCTTAATGGAACATCTTTGAACTTGTGATATGTATTCCTTATAGCCTAAGGACGACAACTGCATGTCCCAACCCCTTTAATTAAAAGAAACGATTTTTATTTAATTGACTTTAATGGAAACACTGGGTCAATATAAAGGACTTTGCAATGGCTGAATTGCTGTCAAAAAATGATGTATCACTTTGCCGTGATGTAATCAGGTTCTGTAAAAGTGAAATCTATAGCAAAGAATTATATTTATTTATTTGTGCATTTAAGAAAGGATTGGGTGATAAATAAAATCTCCTATGAGTCTTTTTTGTTATCAAAAAAGACTTGTACAAAATTCTCTATATATTCAGACATTGTCATGCAGGTTTTCTCAACACACGAGGGACCGGGTATCATTCAGATTTGATGAACAAAGGAAAGAAACTGTGCTTACCATCTAGAATCTAACTCATATCCAGTTAATAGATTGCCATCCAGAAAGTGTTAAATGCCATGGTCAAGATTCATCAAAAAACATCCAGTTTGTGCTACGTGTAGTTTAAGAAACACGGTTTAGTTTTGACATAGGTCGTCTAGTTTATGAAACTAAATGGTCATAAACCAGACGACCAATATCAAAACTAAACTAAATGGTCATAAACTAGACAACCAATGTCAAAACTAAACAGCGTTTCTTAAATTACATGGTAGCAGAAACTGGGCGTTTTTTGTTTTTTTTGATGAATTATAGATGTGTGTATTAAGATTCTAGATGGTAAGCTCAGTTTCTTTCCTTTTTTCATCAAATCTGAATGATACCCGGTCCCTAGTGACATCGAAAGTGAATTAAACCCAGGTCTTAAATATTTCCTTAACAGGTATAGCAACTGAGATGAGTGTATGGGAGGGTGTAGTAGTAACCCCATCTGATAAAGCCTATGAAAAAATAGAAGAAAAGGAAGGAAAAGATGATGAGGAAGGAGATGACGAAGGAATGGAAACTCAAGAAAATTCTTAAAACTGGCATGTTGAGAAATCATGTGGTAAGTAATATTCATATTTTGGTTGTATATCTGGAAAATTTCCCAACATTTGAAATATTGCGTAAAGGTAGTTAAAAGCATTTTGAGAGTGAGTTACTACAGTAAACTGTGACTCTCTCTCTCTCTCTGTCATTACACCCACAGCACAGGTGACCTTAGTATTTATTATAAAATAATTAATAGAATACAGTATCAAAAAACCATCGTTTTATCCAAGGTTTCGTCAGTAAAAATACTAACTTCTTCAGGGATGAAGAACTAAATTCAAAAATTTAGTTCTTCATACCTGAAGAAGTTAGTATTTTTCCTGACGAAACCTTGGATAAAACGATGGTTTTTTGATACTGTATTCTATTAATTATTTTATATCAACTTATCTGAATATCAAATGCATCATTTTGACTTAGTTAAAATTGATCCCATCAAACCTGTATTTGGTTTGTGTTTCCTGTTTCTACTGATTGGAAGTTTCTTAGTATTTATTAGGCGCACTATTAAAAAGCTAATATCAAGGTCTCTTTCATTCAAAATATTTTTTAGTTGAAACAAGTTAACCACAAATAAATTTTATTACGTAGTACACTCCCTAATAATTTTACATTTTTTTTTACAGGTAATTTAAAGAATAAGATGAGCTCTGCTGGTGGAGAATTAAAAATATTTCATATTGTATATAGTCATGGCATGAAATTTTTAACATTGTATTAATCAGTCAAAATAAAATCTACAAAAAACAGAATATTTTGTCATTTACAGTTCCATTAAGTGAGAGGTCTTTGGTCAAAAATCTTTAGACCAACAACAGATGTTACAGAGTTTGACCAAATGTATACTGTTAAAAGCGGAGAATGCCCATTTATCTTATAAAGTGTAGAAATATATAAGCAGCTGATGTACATTTGAATTTAAATATTCCTTTAATTTTCTAGGCAAACATTAGAGCAAATCTCATTATTTACAATTTACATATTATGAATTACAAGATTTTCCAATGGTGTTGAATAGGTTAATCTTGGACAGTTTTCTACTATGAAAATACTATACAAATGTTTTACAATTACATACATCTACTGAATGGTGATATCCTTCTGGTAGAAGATTAAAAGGAATTCCAATTCAGAAATAACTTGGGATATGGTTGACATTTATAAAAAGAAACCAGTGGCTGCCAGGCAGGATACCCCCACATTTTCGAGAGATGGATAGAAAACAAGCTAAAACGAAAGTGATTTTTCCTACAATCAAGGGCCATAATTCAGGAAATTACAATTCGATATGCGCAAATATCGAAAGAAACCAAGATCTTTGAGTTATAAACTTACATTTTAAGTTTCAACAAAATCGGAACCGAGATCTTTGGGTTATAAACTTGCATTTCAAGTTTCAACAAAATCGGATAAAAATTGTGACCTCTATAGGGCCCACAACCTTGATATACCATATTTTTACGCTAATTGAGAACAAACGGCAGCCATATTGTTTGTCAGTTTTGGGCCGATTTTCACGAAATTCGAACTCAACCGTCCTTAGGGATTATTGGTGATATAATAATGTTTTTTTAAATCGGATAAAAATTATGACCTCTATAGGGTCTACAAGCCAAAAAAACACGTTTTTATGTACAATCAGGGGCCATAAATTCAGGAAGTTATGCGCGAATATCGAAAGGAACTGAGATCTTTGGGTTATAAACTTACATTTCAAGTTTCAACAAAATCGGATAAAAATTGTGACCTCTACAGTGTTCACAAGCCCAAAACGTGATTTTTCGTACAATCAGGGGCCATAATCCATGAAGTTACGGTCCGATAGATGCCAATATCGAAAGGAACCAAGATCTTAGGGTGATAAACCTATATTTCAAGTTTCATTGATTGAAATCGGAAAAAATTGTGACCTGTAGACTGTTCACAAACAATTGTGGACGGACGGACAAGGGCGACGACAATATACGTCCACATGAAAATGTGGGTGTATAAAAAGCCCAATATAACCCCACTAGCTTGTAAATCCTACCAAAACTTTTTTATGTATGCAAGTCTGGGGCCCCATTTCACCAAATTTAAGTAATTTGATTGGATTTTATCTTAAGTTAAAATTTCGTGAAACAGGCCCCCGGCTCTTTTTAATACATTGCTTAGCTGCGTCAGCAAATGTCACATCAACTGGGCTTACAAGATGGTTAATATGCTTCTGTAGTTCTTCCCATATTCCCTGGAAATAGCTTGAGTTTTTACATCATTTAGATTATCTCCCCTTTTTACCCTTTCTCTTTTGATTTTTAGCAGGTTGTTGTTGTGATGAGGCCTGGGATGATGATTGTCTTGTTTTTAACTTGGGTATTGTTTCAGCTAAATAAAATAATACAGACTTTCCTGCAAAGAATGAGAAAGAAAGTCTTAAAAAAAAAAATTAATTTTAAGTGATGTAGTCTTAAGATTACAAAAAAAAAAAAAAGAATGAAAGCCCAGGTTAAAATCTGACATTCATCAACATTTATAATTTCCAATTTCACAAAGCAATATAAAAACTCAAATAATACTATAATAGTACAGTTGATTCCCCCACTCTCATTCCCAAAATAAACATCTACCTCTCTGCTTAACCTGAGCATTGACAAATCAAATTGCTAGCTCTGCTTAGCCAAAAAAACTCATTATCAAAGCTGCTGAAGGTATTTATGTAATGAACACATACACCAAGTTGTAATATTCTTTTTCAATTAGGAGAATTATAATTTTCATCAGATGATGCTATTCAAGAAAATACCTACTTGTTGGAAATTTTTCGTGCATTATTGAACCATCTTCATTTTTTAATTGAATTCTAATTCTTCCTCTACATTTAGGATCCCTGTGATCTAATTCTCTTGGGTAAACTTTATTCTATAAACAAAGAAAATATTGAAAATACATGCACATAATTGGGTTATCTAGTTTTTAACAGAAATCCTGGCTTTTATACGAAAAAAAAAAATTATATAAAAGAAGCCAAAAGTGACACTGATGTCCCCCGCCGAAATCCCAAAATGAATACAGTAAACCTCACATAAGTCGGATCTGCGCTCAACTCGGATAAAATCGTTTGGACCCTTTGATCCTGCACGTTTTTCTTATTAAATTTCTGCGCGGAAGTCAGATCTTTGCTTAACTCGGATCAAAATTCAGGCTTTTTTTCTTCGCCTAAGTCGGATCGTCAGTTTGTTCACAACATGCTGTTAAAAATACGGCCTGGCTGACACTATTGAAATCCAAATACAGGGCAGCGCACAAATTTGCGCATCTCGGCCATATAAGACGTAACGAAATTGGAATTTTTGAAAAAATTTGATTGTAATTGGGCTAGTCAATGCAATAATTGACTGAAGTTTCTCAGCTTTTCAACGATTCTAATTTTTCCCCACCCCAGCTGACCTAAATTTCGTTTCGTCTTATATGGCCAAGCCACGTAAATCTGTACGCCACCCCACATCTAGACCTCGATGTTTAGCAGGAGGGGACAGATTTTTAACAGCATGTTGTGTTGCACATACTGACTCTAGCGAGGTCTTATTTTCTTATTAAAATGTTCCTTTACATTGTTCAGGCGTTCACCGAGACTGACATACGACTGTTTAGCAGTAAAAAGTTGTCCAGTAAAATTGACTGGAAACCGATTTTATTTCGACAAGGATTCAATAGGACGGTTCCTGAACGTACAGGGCGATAATGTAAATGAGACCTACGTTCGGAGCCGAATTGGGTCTTCGGCTAACTCGGATCTTCACGCAACTCGAATAAAATTGGTCAGTCTATTTAGATTCGACTTATGCAAAGTTTACTGTATATGACACATATTAATTGATAAGACATTTATTTTTTTCAAAAGTATAGAGCAATCAAACTGATTATCTAAACTTAGTCTAAGCATAAACTGTTCATGATCAAACTCGGTCAAGGTTTTGAAGTACCGTACCTGGTAGTGAAACAAAACACTAAGTTTCATCACTCTCCATCAGTTAGAATCAAAGTTATCTTGTCCCAAAGCATCGACCAATGAAATTGCTTAGCTTTAGCAGGAAATGTTAATCATTGAACCCAGTCAAGACATTCGCCTAATGAACATCTACAAGTTTAACCATTCTACCTCAATTAAAAGCAGAGTTGTTATGTTCCAAATTCTTGACCAATCAAATTGCGTATCGCTCCTTAGACTAAGAAAATTCTCATCATCAAACTGTTCAGGGCTTGCCACGAGCAAATTGGAGGCGAGTAGATGACTACTCACGCAAATATAGACTTGCGCGAGTGAGGCGAGTACATGTATTTACTCACGCAGAATGATGTGCGTGAGTAGCCATTTAAATTTCATTTGCCTAACGGCAATGCTCTTGTCACTTCGGTGGAAGCGGACGTTGAATAAAGCTATTTCACACACAATGGCAATGCGGGATCGAAGGAATTGCTATAGAAACGACAACATCCGCTCAATTTTTGATTATCCAGACACGGCAAAGGACATCCGCTTAAAAACCGCCTGGCAGTACGCGTCTCAAAGTATTTTTAGTAACAACAGGTGGCACTTGAAAGACACGCCGCGTGCGCAATAGTGCATCAATATGAAGGCATACAAATTGTTTACGGCTTTTTTATTACGATATTCCATTATTTCTGATTAAATTATTTTTTATATTTGCGCGAGTACTTAATTACTCACGTAAATTTGGTTTTACGCGAGCGTAGCGTGCGCGCGAGTAATTATTCGCGTCTCGTGGCAAGCCCTGAAACTTAGTCAAGGTAATGATATAATGAATCACTCTCGCTTAATTAAAATCAAAGTTATCATGCCCCAAAGCATTAACCAATTAGATGGCTTATCTCTGCTTACCGTAAGCAGACACTGTTTATCATCAAACTCTATCAAGGCATTCACCTAATGAACGCCTACACCAAGTTTGAACATTCTACCTCAATTAGGAGAGTTATTGTGTTCCAAAGTCTCGACCAATCAAATTGCTTATTGCTCTGCTTATCCTGAGCAGAAAATGCTCATTATCGAACTTAGTCAAGGTATTGACGTAATAAAACTATACACCAAACTTCATCACTCTCACTTAATTAAAACTAAAGTTATCGTGTCCCAAATTATCAACCAATCAAATTGCTTATCTCTGCTTCCCTGAGCAGAAAATGTTCATTTTCGAACTCCATCAAGGCATTGACCTAATAAACACCTACACCAAGTTTGAATGTTCTAGCTCAATTAGGAGAGTTATGGTGTTCCAAAGTCCTGGCCAATCATATTGCTTAGTGCTCTGCTTACCCGGAGCAGAAAATGCTCATTATCAAACCTAGCCAAGGTATTCATGTAATAAAACTATACACCAAATTTCATCACTCTCACTTAATTAGAACTAAAGTTATAGTGTCCCAAAGTATCAACCAATCAAATTTCATACAGATCGGCAGATAACTTTAGAGGTTAGAGCGTTCACAAAGTGAAACAAGGGCCATAACTCTAGAAGTAATAAACAGAAATTGCTGAAATTCAATAGAATTCTTCTCTTTACTAATTTAAATGATGCATGTAAATTTCATACAGATTGGCAGATAACTTTTGTACTAATTTAAAAGATGCATGTAAATTTCATACAGATCAACAGATAACCTTTGATGTTAAGAGTGTTCCCAAGGTGCAACAAAGTGAAACAAGGGCCATAACTCAAGAAGTAATTGAAGGAAATTGCTGAAATTCAATAGGCTTCTTCATTTCACTGTGGGCGTATAAAAATGAAGAAGTTACCTCTACTCCTAGGGTTAATCCTGCTGCAGCACAAACATCTTTAATCTCTGAATAAGTTGGATTATCTACAGCCTGCAATAATAATATTCAAGCTTGAATTCAATTTTGATTAGCACATTTTCACAGTGACACTATTTGAAAACAATACAAGTGCAGTCTAAGATCTCAAAAAAGGTAAGCTGTCTTGTATTGCCAGTTATGTTATAGACTTGTAGTTGTACTCATTTTAGTATTCTCAATAATGCATATAAATTCAATACAGTGAAACAACTACAAGGGCCATAGACTTCTTCATATTAGAATTCTCAATAATGTATATCAATTTCATACATCTAATGTTAACTTTAGTCGTTACCACATTCACATGGTTCAACAAAGTGAAACAAGGGCCATAACTCTAGAAGTAATTAACGGAAATTGTTGAAATTCATACAGATTGGATGTTAACTGTTGTCGACAGAGCGTTCACAAGGTTCAACAAAGTGAAACAAGGGCGTAAGTCTGGAAAGATTAATGGAAATTGTTGAAATTAAATAGTCTTCTTCATTTTAGTGATCTAAATAATGCATATATAAATTTGATACATACATGTATCACTATTATCGAAATTTTACTTTTGTAGTTAGAGCATTCATATGGTTCAACAAATTTAAAGAAGGGCCATACATGTAATTCTAGAAGCTGTGTACAGAAATGGCTGGAATTCAATAGACTTCTTCGTTTTATTAATTTAAATAATGCTTGTAAATTTAATACAGATCGGAGGATCACATAAGCCATTTGAGCATTCACAAGGTTCAACAAAGTAAAATAAGGGCCATAAGTCTAGAAATTATAAACGGAAATTGCTGAAATTCAATAGGATTCTTCACTTTATTAATTTAAATAATGCATATAAAATTCATATAGATCAGACGATAACTTTTGTTGATAGCGTTCACAAGGTCCAGCAAAGTGAAACAAGGGCCATAACTCTTGAAGTTATAAACGGAAATTGCTGAAATTCAATAGGATTTTTCGTTTTACTAATTTGAATAATGCATAAAAAATTTAATACAGATTGGATGATAACTTTATTCGTTATAGCACTCACATGTTCTACAAAATGAAACAAGGACTGTAACTCTAGAAGTAATTAACGGAAAATGTTGAAATCAAATCAGCTTCTTTGCCTTACCAATGTTAACAATTATATATAATTTTCAAAAAGATCAGATAATTAATGTAGTCTGTAGAGTGTTCACAAAAAATTGTGGACGAGGACATACAGGTGATGGCAATACACGATCAAATTTCTATATGGGCGTATAAAAATGTTACCAATATTGACCTTTTTGCTTATTTACTACAGTTTAATTTTAAAATTGTAACAATGTGGCTCTTAACACCTTTTTAATACACAATTAATTTGCAAAAAACACTTAAAACTGTTCTTAGTCAATAAATAATTATTTACCTTACTACAGGGTACTCTTCTGCCCTCTTGTACAGTTCTTTTACTATTAATATAAGTTGGATAAATACAAATCCACCTGAAATATAATAGCAACAATTTATAAACTACAGTATAGACCGTTTCATGATTTGGAGGTAGACATTCCATAAAGATAGGTTGCCGAAATTCAACAGGCTTATTCGTTTCATTAATTTAGATGATGCACACAAATTCCATACAGATAACTTTCGTCATGCAAGGGTTCACAAGTTCAACTGTTGAACAAGCCTAATTCAATAGGCTTCTTCAGTTCACTAATCTAAATGATGCATATAAATTTCATACAGATCAGATGATAACTTGTCGTTAAGAGAGTTCAAAAGTTTCAACAAATTTGAAACAAGGGCCATAACTCTAGACGTAATTAATGGAAATTTCATACATATCAGATGGTAACTTTTGTTAACAAAGTGAAACAAGGGCCATAACTTCAGAAGAAAATAACGGGAATTATTGAAATAAAATAGACTGCTTAATCTCACTGATGTAAACAACATATATATGTATCAATTTCAAACAATCTGATGATAAATGTAGTCTGTAGAGTGTTCACAAGAAATTGTGAACAACGGATGTACATTCCACGTAGGCGTATAAAAATTCACAGTGATTTTAGACAAGTTATTTAAACATACATTATGCAAGAGCTTAATCTGCATAGTGCAGGTCTTTCTTTAGGCCTGAAATGTTACTAAATTATTCATTAGACATTAATTAACTTATCCAGACCATAATCAACTCTCAATGGCATCGCTAGCCTGCAATGTTTGGTGGATTATGATCTGATTTACTGCAAAACTTCCCTTCACGATTTAATTATCAAATGGATAATCGAGACTATGCTTTTTAACGTACCGTCTTTAGTTATGATGATCGAGACTAGGCGGAAATTCAATCGCTTAATTCTCGGTTCATAGTGGATCAATTTGACTGAAATTTTCAGAAATATTTCCTTTCTTTTACATTATCTAGTTTTTAACTATTATAGTGGATCAATTTGACTGAAATTTTCAGAAATATTCCCTTTACATTATCTAGTTTTTAACTATTATAGTGAGAACTGTCAGCTCGTTATCTAATCTCCCATAATGTATCTTTAATTAGTTAGGGTATGGTCTTAGTCTAAAAGTCAAGACCGATAGCAGATTTTGTCATAGGTCACAAGCTGTTATTATGGTTAGGGCTATGGTCAACAATCTTGTGTCCTAACCCTATTAATATCTTGTGACGAAATCTGCTATCTGTCTTGGCTTTGGGCTAGAGTATTTAAGTTGTCTTAAATCTCCTTCGCTTGTCATGCTATGCATATCACATCAAGTTGGTCGTTAAACCCCATTTCATATAAATCAAAGCAGCACTTTTATTTGGATAAAGTCACAAATTAGTATAAAAAAGTTTTTGTAAAGATGAGATGCATGAACCAAGTTGTTTTTGTTTCAACTACAACTGTACGCACATTTTATTCACAGGAATCAATAATCAATGCAATTAAGTGATGTCAGAATTGCTATAGTAAGTGGACTCTTTTGGCTTTCATCATCCCTAGTATCGATGAAAACTCACCCAGCATTACCCCAATAATCATCAGGACCCAAAGCCTCCCAGCTCCCTGTCACGTATTTCACAAAGCATGTGGTCATATAACACTTGTATGTAAATCAAGCATTTTGATGTGCACCTATGACCCTATGTCCACGTAATTCTAATGGGCATAAATAAAGCTCCATTCTCTGGAACCATTCGGAAAAGGCTCTAAAACTTAAAAACACATATAATATGAATGGATATAAAGTGATTTACATTCAATTTCTAATTGTAATTTCTTATCAATTCTATGCAACCTTAATATATACGGAAAAGGGTCTAAAAGTACATATAAAATAATGTCTTTTGAGTATAGGACTTGTGTACTAATTTTAAAATGTTCATGAATCATTGTGTCTTAAATCCTAGTGGATCCCATATTTTCACATTTATTATTAACATAACAACATCAACTCATTGAAATGTACCACTATTTAATCATGATTCATGGTTTTAATTATGGATAATATTGAGTTAGGTGTAGCTTCTTTAATCACACTTAGTAAACAAAATCCTGATGGTTGCATAGAATTTTCGGTATGGTAAGCAAAATGTGCCATACTGTACCACTATCAGGCACAATTATCCTTAATTTCCAATGGCAATATACTCCATAAAAGAACGGTAGCACGCCATTTTGGCCCCGTGTCATTTTGAACTCAACACAGACGACCTTTCAGACTTAGTTTGACGACGGTTTGGACTTAATTGATGACTTTTCGGACTCAGTCTGGCGACATTTCAGACTCAGATAAATAATTAAAAGACTGTTGAAATTTGTGTGATATATTTGTAACAGCTGGTTTGGTTTTTTTTCGTTTTATGTGAGTTCGATAGTTGTTTTGTTTTATTTGATTGATCGGCGATTCTGGAGACCGCTAATAAAAAGATAACACTGATTTTACACTGCTTGTACTATTTTGTTTTGTTTCATCGGCGAGTAATGAACTTGACAATAAAATATTGTGGAAAATTTGTGTATATTTAGTAATACTGCTAATGTTTTTATAATTCTGAAAGCCTAAATGTCTTTTAGGCGAGTCGGAATAATCTAATCAACACACGGGCCCGCCATTATCGCTGATTGACAACTCATATTTTCTCCGTCCACTAAAGAACTGTAAGGTTTCTTTGCACATACTACAATAACATAGGGATTATCAGTTAATCAGCTTAAATTATCCCACTTTGATCGTTGCCATTTCTAATATTTTCCAAGAAGAGTTTTCTTTGTACGCACTAATTTATCGATTGGTACTGCTATCTATGATTTGACAGTTCTGTTCAACCTTTCCTTCCAACTTATTCCCAAGTCCGAAACGTCACCTACCCGAGCCCGAAATGTCACCTACCCGAGTCCGAAACGCTGAGGCCATATTTTTCTGAGTACTAAATGTCGTATCGGTAAGTCTGAAATGAAGCGAGACTGAAACGACATGTAATCAAACGAACATCCACAGACCTCTTTTGGCCGTCAATAATCACGAGGCTATCCTACTTATTTGTATAAATCTTCAGTTGGCCTGGGCATTTTTAATATAATACGCACACGACACAACAAGAGAACAAGATAAACATTTATTTATTGGGAAAACCAAATAAAATTAAAGGGACAATAACACTCTTGCTGGCTTGACAGCTCCAGAAAACAAAAAATAGCCTAATTCTAAGTACTAGATGTGTTAGTGTCCTACCTGTTGTGTAAATTATCCATTAAATCATATTTTACTTGCCCAGAGGGTTCAAAAATATTTTTAAATCCAAGTCACATTTGAAAAGCTTTACGTCAGGCTTTTCAAATCATTTAGTTGAATTTTTCCAATTTTTTTAAATTAGGTGTGTTAAGATGAAATTTGTATCTTCAATTAATTGGAATATTGTAAAATAGTACAATTTGTTGACCAGAATAAAGATTGGGACATATTATTCAGTTAATCCAACAAGTTAGATGTTACTCTTTGATATTCTGAGGACGTAACATCTAACATCAGAACGGTCAAAAACTTGTCGCAAAAGTTGACAACTAGTTTACTTCTTTCAGCGGACGGCAAAATTCACAATTTTCAGTTATCTGCACTGCTAACACATTAAACTTACATATCATATCCATCTATGTTCCGAAAAATATTTTTTGCTGTCTATTTTAAGAGATTTCACAAAAATCTTCGCCTACAACCAACAAAACAGAGTAAAACAGGAAATGACCTACATTGGCGAAAGTTGAAATCTGGCATGGTGCATATTACGAACGGAATTCTTTAAACGAAACGAAATCATGAGACTATAATTTGAAGGCGATCATTTTAAATTTATTTTTAGTGATGGTCCGATTATCGGTTTCACTATCCAGTAGCCTAATTGGCCGATGAGTGGCATATCAGAAGAAATTTTACCGATATTTGCGTAGCCGATATCTGTTCAAAATGACTCCGCAGCCAATAAATCTTTTCATAAAATATTATTCAAATTGTGAACAAAGCATTCTCTCTAGTCTCTTACTTAAAATGCCACTCGGCCCTTTTATTTATTTGCCGTGTGTGTGATACAAGACTCAATGCTTTATTATAGATCTTTTCAACTCTATCGATAGAAAAGCGGGAAAATGTCACGTGACATTGACAAGACAGAAGCTATCATTTAAGCGATAGCGATGAAACATTCTACGAACGCCGACAAATTTAAGGATTTATATTGTAATGAACATTTAATAACATTTTATAAATAATAATCTCAATCATACCGCCTATGCTAGAATTTACCACGGCGGCATAACTGTCGTAAAAAGTAAAAGCTTAAGCAACACGGACTGCCACGGTAATAAAAATAGCCCAAATTGCGCGGTTGTCCACGTGTACGTGTATCAAAAAGTTATGCCTTTTATATACATGTAGACGTATGAAATGCATAGGTAATAACTTTTCAATATATCATACAGTCGTTCAAGGACGGCTGGGCTTGGGATTAGGTCAATAATTCAGGAATGCAAGATTTAGTTGTAAATTGTGTGCCAAGCCTACCTGTATAGTTCATTTTTTCATAAGAATGCTCACTTTCTAAAATAGTACCCTTATTATAGAAGGTTATGGCAGAGCCGTGGGAAATTTGATGAATCAATTTTAGTTATGGTTGACATGATGGCAACCATTGGGAACATGAATAACTAAAGGATCGAAAGGAAAACAAATTTTTATGACTTTATTACTCCAAGAGGAATCTGTAAATTTTATACTTATGACAGTACCACCAAACGCAATTAGAACCAGATTAATTGACACGGAAAATCATTGCACGGACCGTTTGTCTATCTACACATGTACAAATATAAAAATTGCACTTTCACTGAGGGAAAATGACAACAGTATATTTGTTAAATATAATTGTCAGCTAATTTTTGTTACGGCATTTATAAATTTTTGGTGCCGTTGTAGAAGAATCCTCATTTCAAGCACTGGCCATGATCTAGGCATACTACTACTAATTAATCATGCAACAAATAATTATTAAGTTCTCAATAAACGTGTATTTTGAACTACGTGTGAAGAGCGACCTAATTATTCTTCAACAAACACCGTCTTCTATCCCAATATAACACCTCTACAAAAACAGTACATATACGCAATCCATACAAATATTGTACAAAAATGCATTTCGTTTCCCGTAAAACAGGGATCCTCAAATTTTAATGCGGAGGATATGACGTCAAAAAAGGGTCAAACTATCCCAACATGGCATGGCGACTGAAAGAAATGCTGGTGTATGTGATATTGGATAAACCTGTTTCACTGAACAATGTTTGTTTGTCAGTAAGTGTTATTGTTGTTCAGAGGTGGATAACACAATAAGGTAGGACATGCATTAAGAATTTATCGACTGATGCCTTTCAGCTCGTGGCTATTTGATGCGCCAACAATTCAGTGGCTCATCGCTCCAAAAAAGGACGGCTTAAAGAACCTTGAGGTTACGTATGAAAGAAACCTGAAGGCACCCTGGAGTAATTATTCAGTTACAACAAGAGTAGTATTGAGCCTTTAAAGGATGTAAATCGTTTACATTTGGGACCTAGAAATTGACAAAAGTGGGTCGCAATGCATATAATACTGTAATATGAATGTATAACTGGTTTACATTCAATGGTTTCCGTTTTTACTCCAATTTCAAATCAGTTATGGTCGGCAAAATAAGCCAGCAGTCTCAATAGAGTACAAATTTCTAGCATCTGGTTATTCCAGTCTACATACGCCGTTTGATTTGGTGCAATGTGTCTAGCCTCGTCCCTCGAGTATCTTGATACAACTGTTTCTGAAGCGCATTACTATTGGTACACGATTCGTGTACCAATGGTAAAATGTTTATTTTGTCTTAAATATTGGATATCAAAAGTCCATCATTTTCCGGTAAGATCACAACATGAATGTTGATTTAATTTGACAAATAAATCGTGTTTTCAATGTTGAAGATTTTGGATGATATTGAGTTAGAGACTTAGCTACTGATCACCAGGTCAAGGAGCCGGTTAATATTCAGGGCTAATACGTAAATAAATTGGAAATAGCCAGTCTCAAAAATTGCGTCAATGTTTACTGGTGATTTCTTATTGTTTTAAATATCACCTTTCCCGGTCTGCGTGTGTAAAATCTGGATTCCAAGCTCTAGCAGTTTGTGGAACAGCTGTTTGTCCTGCCATGTTGCTGGTTTTCTTAAGTTGGGTGTAAATATTTAACCGGAAGTGGTAAACAGAAAAGTAAATGAAACGAAATAGCGTGCAAGTTGGAATTTGTTACACTTTCAAGGTTTTTATTTTTCACCCAGTTACTGGGGGTCATTTTAAAATAATTCCACATACACACAAAAATGAATGGATGTACAGGGCGTTTAAAAGATCAAGAATTCTTGATCTTCAGCAAATAACTACATAATAAATGAGAACGTTAGATCAGAGACGGTCACTGATCTCTATAAATAACTCTACTAAGCCAATCAGCCATCCAGTTATTTATAGAGATCAGTGGAGACGGTCCTACGCATTTCTTTACCTTGATGTAAGCGGCCCGTGCATTCGGAGTTCTTTGATACCGAGTGTTTGGTTTGATTTTCCCCGCGAAATTCAATCAGATCAGACGACCACACTGATCAGCGGTGAATATTCGCTAGGCCGCTACACAATCACTGATAAGGAATGAAATGATATGAAATGGGGTTTAACGTCCTACTGTTCTGCTCCTAAACTGGGCTTATGAAGACGGGCATACGCCATACAGTGTGCTATGAGGGAAATTTTGCCCGGGCAGCGGCGCTACGGCCTTCCTTAGGCTATATCGAATTCCAACTGCCAAGGCTCTGTAGCCAAGGGATCTTTTAGGTTTACGTGCACGCAAATATGTACACGGGACCTCGGGTTTTCGTCCCATCCAAACGACTAGACAGCTGTCCTTATCAGGTCCTCCGTCCTGCATCACTGACAGGGGGAAACCACGCCGGAAAATCTTGATGAACTGACTGAACACCCGACCTCCAGGCTAGCGAGCCAGCGTCTTAATTACCCACTTAGTCAGGTGAGCCCCCACTGATGATAAGGAGAGAGAGAGAAATGGGGTTTAACGTCCACTCGACACAAACTAGGTCATTTCGGGACTACCGGTAACATATGGTTTAATTTTATTTCAATAATTTGCTTGCGCGTTATTTTCTTTAGCAGGGGGAGGAAACCGGAGGACCCGGAGAAAATCCACGAGGTTGGACGTGCGACCCCACTTCTTGTCACGTATAACCGGGGATTCGAAACCACGCCAGTTGACTCAATGACAGGCTTTATGATACAGCGTGCACGTGCTAACCATTCGGCCACTGATAAGGATGACATCAGTGCGACTTAATGAGTCTCAAATGTTAACTTTTTTCAACCAACAAATTAAATTCTAAAACATTTTTTTGATTTATTAGAAAAATAAATAAAGACATTTGACATATTTGTAGGTAAAAATTATTTCCTATTTAGTGTAAATGGGTATTAAAATGACTAAAAGGCAGCATTCTGCCCGAAGCAGTAACGTCTTATGTAACAATGCACGCGCCATTCAGCCAATGATTGACGCTGCGTAGGCCTACTGACGGCACGTGTTGAAGGCAGTCATCTTTTACAGAGATATTAGAAGACTTTCGTAATTCTCTGTGAAACAGATTGATCAGACGACCAGTAATCATAAAAGTTAAATCAAATTGAAAAGTAAAATCAAATCAAAAAATCAAATCAAACTCCAAAGGAACGTGATCATATTAAAATTGAAATTAAATGGAAGTTAAAATACAATTAAAAATAAAATTAAAATTTACTATTACCCCATCATGCGTTACGGTTTGGCATAATTGACCTAATTGAACTATGACCCGTTTTGACACGCGTTACTTTTGATATAATACGCTGCTGTCAATTGTCTGATATCCACGCAAATCGTTTCTAATCAATTAGATTTTATTAAATCAATCAATGGAATCTTCGCTGTAAAGAGAACCCGTATTATTTAATACCCCAAGTAGGCTACACGTGTATGGTGGCTATCCCTAGCCTATAGGATATCATTCGTTATTTATCAAAAAAAAAAAAAATTTAAAAAAATATGTTAAACTTAAAAATGAAATGAAATTAAAATCATAATTAAAATAAAAAACCTATTAACCTGAAAATACATGTAAAAAAATTACAGGCAAAAGTCAAGTCAAATTGAAGAGTAAAATCAAATCAAAATAAAATCAAAATAAATTTCATATTAAACATGGAATTAAATGAAAGTTCAATTAATATTAAATGAAATGTAGAAATGAAGATTCTTGGTGCCACTGCAGTTCATTCCAAATTCCAAATTCCACATTCCACATTCCAGATTCCAAATTCCAAATTTGCTGCTGTAGCCAAAAAAAAAAAAAAAAAAAAAAAATGCCAGTCCTAATATACCGAGTAGCAGAGTGGCTCACTGCAGAGGAACTTTGCCCCAAACTGTTCACATCTGTCGAAGCAAACCCGAACTGGAATATTGTTATTATACTCCAACTGATTAGTCAAAAGCAAAAACCTGATCCGATTGGTCGGATCAGATTTGGAATTTCGCATTTGGTATTTGGAATCTTGAATCTGGAATCTGGAATTTGGAATCTGGAATCTGGAATTTGGAATTTGGAATCTGGAATCTAATAATTTGGAACGGGTATTTATCCGGCCCAGATAGGTAAACTAGAAGTAATTAGTTGTGTAAAATTACAATTTATATAAATTCTAATTTGTTTAATTGAGGGGGGCTGCCAATTTGCTATTTTATCGGTAAGACATGAATTTGGAATTTCGCATTTGGAATTTGGAATTTGGAATGAGCCTTCTGGGCTTTCGTACGATACGACACGCATTGCAATTCAGGTGCTACAATACAATTTATATCACGTACGATTCATAATCAGGTCAATATTTACCCAGAAAACAACAGGATAAATGAATAATTGATATTTTTAGTCCTGCCGATGTCGAAGAAATAAAACAGTTTCATATCACGATATTGATGTGGATCAAAATAAGGACCAAAACAATTTTAGTGTTTGTGTACCTATGGATAATGTGTGACGTGGATAATTAATTAAGAGTGTTTGTGTACCTATGGATAATGTGTGACGCGGGTAATAATGTGTGACGCGGGTAATTAATTAAGAGTGTTTGTGTACCTATGGATAATGTGTGACGTGGATAATTAAGAGTGACAAGCTACTTACTGAAGTGACAAAAACATAAACAAAAAATCGTGATAGATAGGACTATTATATAGTTCTAATTGATAAATTACTATCCTACTAGGATTGATTTGCAATTGATCCAATGTTTAAGCATTTGTGATATATATTCTGGGGCGGATCTATTATGAAACCACTGATGATTAAACATCAGGGTCCCTTGGCCTGGAGGGGTCCCCTAGAAGCGTCCTGATAATATTGCAGGTAGAATCAGGATTTAGAAATTAAGTTCCAATCATTAATTTCATCTCCGCTGGTATGAAAATTATCCCAAAAACTGGATTTTCCGGGGCTTCGCTACACCAAAACCAGGCTTTCTTGCAACCTACGGTTAGCAGTATAACCTGGGCTATAGCTCATTCAGATATCAGTGATTCCCCCCCCCCCCATCTTTATTTATAAAACTTGAACTAAAATAGTTAAAAATAGTTATAAGGTTGAGGCCCTTCCATTAGTGATCACTGTAATAGCAATGCAATGATCATTGCTTAAAGCGGAAATTGCAAATTTTCTAAGAAAGTCAAAACGTAATTATTTCTATGTCTTTTGCTCAATAGGTTGTCAACTCACAATTATACGATCATAGGTGTCGAGAGAGAGAGAGAGAGAAATGGGGTTTATCGTCCACTCGACACAAACTAGGTCATTTCGGGACTAACATATGGTTTAATTTTATTTCAATAATTCGCTTGCGCGTAGGGGTCTTTAGCAATGGGAGGAAACCGGGGGACCCGGAGAGAACCCACGAGGTTGGACAGGCGACCCTACTCCTTGTCACGTACAACCGGGGAATCGAAACCCCGCCAGCTGACTCAATGACAGACCGTATGATACAGCGCGCGCGTGCTAACCATTCGGCCATCCAACCCCCCGATCATAGGTGTCATTCTCATACTTAAAACTCATTTACACAGGAAATAATAACACAGTTACCTCCCAATTACCTCCCTTGTTTTCTATTCTCCACCATGGAGTAGCTTTTTTCAAACGTTTGAAAATGAAGAGGAAAATGATATTTTTGCCATTTTCTCAGCTGGCAATAGTGAATTATAGGATTAATATGATTATTATTTAACAAGGTAGGACTGCTTATTGATACCATCTATTTTCAGGCTTTATTTTAATAAATTTTAAAAATATAACTTAAAAATTTGCAATTTCCGCTTTAATGTTAGCAACAAATGCCGACTACTGAAGCATAAAATATATTCCGAAAGGTGACAGACAAACAGATGCATTTTAATAGCCCATGTTTTTTTACATGGCATTAAGTTATGAATAAGTAATGACAATAGTGTTTTATAAATCTCTTTATTTTTCATTCTCACTCAATTAGAATCAAAGTTGTCAAGCTCCAAAGTTTCAACCAATCATTCGTTTTAAGTTTCATCAAAATCAGATTAAAGTCGTGACCTCTATAGGGTAATCACGATTTTTCGTACAATCCATGAAGTTACGGTGCAACTGCAATATGCGCAAACATCGAAAGGAACAAATTTGCTGATTCATCTTCATCCACTTTTGGATCATCAATTTGGCAGATCTTGTTTAGATTTACTGAAATGATTTATAAATATTAAACATAAAAACATTAATATTTATCCCTATGCTTCATACAAAATGTTTGCTATGTGAACTCTTCAAATGAGAAGTGGTAACATATGTTCTAAAAAAGATACAGCATATCTTTGTGCTTGGCACTTCAGGGTCATAGGCCATCATTGTTAAATCTTGATACCTACTTATATACAAGGCTATTGCCCACTGTGACCCATCGTATCGTCATACACAGTAAGTAGCAATTCTGTGGGTTCCAAGCTTCATTTAGGTACCATTCCTGGCTCCATATCATGTTCGATGGCTGAGATATCGTCAAATATGTCCAGGTCAATTATTTTACAATGGCACACATTATGGCAACTCTGTAGACTTCGACACATAGAATTACAAACATATTTGCAGTATATTTTTTA